GGGGTGCAAAAGTAGGTATACAGTACAAACAGGCACACAACACACACAACACATAACAACACACAACACACAAGGAAGTGAGTGTTTTTTATCAATTACAAAATTTTTAAGAGTTAATTTAGGTGTCTTAATACTCTTCAAATCAATTTCTTTTTATATGAGTGAATATATTTTTCTATAATGTTTCAATACTGTATACCTACTTTTGCACCCCTCTGTATACAAACAAATACAGTATCTGACAGTTTCAAGTAAAAAAAAATGCGCAATAGATCTATGAGGGGTACACTTCCATATCTGTTGGCACAAACAACTAAATTAGTAATATTGATTATTCGATTGTTTAATTCCATATATCGTTTGGTTAGTTAGGTTAGGTTAACCTTACCTAACTAACCAAACGATATATAGTTAAAATACTCCACCTCAACCTCGCCATTAAACATTCAGGTTGGAAATTTCACTATCAAAGGTGCTCTTGGCCTGTCCGTACGGAACACTGAGTTATATGCGCTACCAACTTATGAATAATTGTTTAAGCCTACGAACCCAAGAGATGGATAATTGGTCTGTTGGACGTATGGTCCAGCGAGCAGCACATAGCGTTGAGAAGACACATTAGAAATACGATTTGAGTATAATCCGTAAACCTCTGTTACAATCACCCACTGCAGTTGTCTCTAAACACTTTACACAACCACCATTGAAGTGCCCCCCTATAAAAAAGTAATTTCTGACCATATATGGCCATATCAAAATTCCATATATGGTTTCATAAAGCCATATATGGTTTTTTATGGACATATATGGAAGCAGATATGGCCAGATGTGGTTGCATCCATATATGGTGGTGTCCATATATGGTCATATATGTAGTCTATATATGGAATTATTGGCCATATATGGCCATACATGTTTTCTATATATGAAATGATTGTCCATATATGGCCATACATGTTTTCTATATATGAAATTATTGCCCATATATGGCCATAAATATCCTCCATATATGGAATCATGGTCTTTATATGGCCATATATGACTCCCAGGTATGGAATTAAATTACTCATATACGGAATAATAATTTTCCATTTATGCTCATGTATAAATGAGTTTTTGACAATAACTGGAATTATTATAAGGAATTGTTGCCACATTTGGATTTTGTAACTGGACTCCCAAACACTTCTTATAATATATATAATACTATAAATCTTAAAGTTTGTGAGTTTGTGTATTTTCTTGTTGCTCTCGGAAGCACAAACTACTGAACTGATTGAGTTGAAATGTGGTACAGTGGGGGGCAGATAATATAGGCATTTCTCATTTAAAGTAATTAGTAGTAAAGTAATAAAGTATCCAGATTTGAACCCAGATGACAAAATCCTGTACATACATCTATTGTACAATTTTACTATAACGCAACAAAATCTTAAAACTGACGTATAATTTTAAAATTGTAAGTGTAGTAGGCCTAAATAAAGAGAATATTATATTAATAATTAATTTATTGTACCTTTGCTATCAAACAGCTGCAAATATCTATGTCACGTAGTTAGGCTATATTAATAATAAAATTCTTCAAATGACATAAAATGTCTAAGAAAATCTTGTTTTACGAGACCAAATACAGCTTCTCTTATTCGTAATGGGTTTTGTAAAGACATCTGATATGAAGCGGTTGTGGTGTAGAGGTCAAAGGGGTAGACTCCCACGCTGGAGTCCCGGGTTCAAATCCCAGTCGGCTACTTGAAAATTTTGTTTTGAAATTTTCAAATTAAAAATTTTTATTATGGTTTTAATGCATAGTTTATAAGATTTAATGTAAAAATATGTTTAATTGTAATTTTTTTATTTATTTATATATTTTTTATTAAAAAATTTCCATATATGGGGGATTCCATATATGATCATATCTGGTTATATTTGGTCCAAAACCAAATATAACCAGATAAAAAAAAAATTATATGGCCATATATAAACTTTTTCATAAGGGCCGTCAACGAGTTGAAACCTTATATGTAAGCTATCGGTAACGCTTATGTAAAAAATGTAAGTTTCCCAGGCATATAGAACACTGAGTCAAAGTCTTTTCCCCGGTTATAAACCCAAAACTCGATAGAAATTCTATACACAAAGAAGCTCTATTTTCATTTACGGTTACCCTACACATTATTGCACTTGCGATTAATTAAATCCGTTATGTAAGGAAAAACGGTTTTAATCCAACTTGGTTTGGATTTGCTTTTGAAACTTGATCTGAAATGATTGCGGTATTTGTAAACAATATTCAATGTAAACATATCAGTGACAGCTAGAGAAAAATAATCTTGATCCGAACAGCTGTTCGCTATTTCATATATGATGATTATGTGATAAACATTGTGAGAAAACTTGACAAAAATCGCACAAAATTGGGTTTTAAACGTCCGTAAGTTTTTTTTTACAAAGTAGCGAGGCCATATTTTAATAGCTAAAGACACTTTCGCCAATCCAGTGAATACATTAAAATGATTCGAGGATCTTGATAGGTACTCTCGTTTTCAGGAGAAGGCCGCGTAAAATGGCCTTTGGACCGTGACAGACGGAAGATAGACAACAACGGAATTGAGATAATAATTGATGATTGATATAATAACGGAATTGAGATGAAACTTTTTTCGGATTCTTGAATGTTTAAAACGTAAAAATAATCTAAATGTTGATGATTCTGAGCAATGTACAGACAAAACTCTAATTTTATTTATATAGATTAGTACCTGTGGTGATTTTTATTAGAAATTTATTGAAGTAAATAAACAGCAAAGTTAAAAACCATCTGACCAGTGTTTTTATTTAAAAAGTACGTAGGCCTATTTGATTGGCTTTGTTTTCTGAACTAAAATATCTATTTCCTGATCTATTTTTAGTTAATGTTTTCGAAACATAATTTGGCAAAACGATTATTTATTCATTAAACAACTTGATCGAAAAATAATTTCTAAACATTGGAGGACAATTAAAACACTTTTGAATTCTAATAAACCTAGCTGCCGTACCTGTGTTTTACATCGGAGAGGATTTTGAAGAGAAAAAGTTTGATACACGTCACATATTTCAAATCCCACTCCAAACACGTCATGTTAATACGTTTACTTCCTTAAATTAAGAATGTCAGAATCTCCAATTAACAGGCCCGTAGCAAAAGTTAAAAGTTTCACAAATCGAATAGTTTCTACCTTTTGGACCGCAAAATCAAAGAACTTTATTGACAGCATTTAAAGCTGACTTCGTTAAACATTCTGTTATCTACATTCTTCAAAAATGTAAACATTGTGAAACTTTGGAATCCCATGGGGCGTAACTCAAAGAAAACACGTTAAATGTAATCGGTATATTTGTTAACCAGGTACAGGGCTACCTCTTGAATTGATATAGATAATAAATCGAAAAATAAAGAAATATAAGTTGATTGATTATTGGCTCTTACAAAAGGGTAAACAATCAAGGAACATGATTTAATTAAGTAACCACACATCACTGAGTCTTTATCTTCATTCTTTCTTGTAAAAATCGCTTTGATTGTGGCTATATAAAATAGGGAAGTAATATTTCACTGTACAACGAGCTCAAAAAGCTCGAGAACCAGCAATAAGATGGAAATAACCGGCAGAACCTTTAACCATCCACTGGCTCGCTAGTCGCTACCCCAGGTCGGTCGGTAGCCGGGTAGCCCATCACTGGAACCCGTTAGGCTCGCCCCTACCTCTCGCCACAAAAGAGACAAGAATTTTGCCTTGTTCCACACGCCTTTGATTGTTTGAGGCGGGAAAACTATTTGTGTGCTACGGCCCGCCCAACACAGGATATTGTTTTCGTATTAGTTGGCCTTTTTCCAAGATGACCGTGACCGTTAACTTATTTTATGGACTCCCTTGGAGAATAATTCAAAACTACAAAGAACATTTCTAATCCCACAGTATACTAGCTATTTAAATTATAAACACTTTCGTGTTTGAAAAATATTTTTGGACGATAAATTTTGCAGCTTTTTGAAATCATCCAAGATGGCCGCCTGCCTCCAAGGACTCAACAATAGGCCTAATTGTGCGACTATAAAGCAATAACTTCCCACCTTACGCTTGCGAATTAGTACGGTACATATTTGTATCCACAGTTGCCAGGACGACTATTAAGACGACCAAAGATTACATTGACATTTAGGTATTTAATCTGTAGAATAGTAATTGTTAAGTAATCTGGAAGACAACTAATTAAAATGAAGTGCGAAAGATGGGTTATGAGAGTGCTCAATGCCTGAAGCATAATCCATTTGTTTGAGGTGCGGATTTTCAAGCTTGTAGAACAAATAAATATCACAAAGTAGAAGGGCAGGGGTGAAAGTGACTGAAGTGACGGGATACCCGGGTGGATTTTCAGTGACTGGATTCCAGTGGTATGCGGTAAAATATATAGTGACTGGCTTAGCAGCACAAATTTTACGTGACTGGCTTTCCCATGCAAATGCGGTGGTGACTGCATTAGCATAGCATTTTTTACGTAATTATATTTTAGTATTTTTAAGAAAAAAAAAGAGATATATACGTTCAGATATGTCTAGGCTTAAGATATTTACCAACATATATTATATATATATCATAGTCTTGAAATATATTGGGGGGTGCAACTGACTGACTTCCAGTGTATATTTTATGTGACTGGCTTCCCGGGCGCGGCCGTGTATATATATATATATATTCATATGATTTTTAACGGATGGTGGTTTAGCCTCTGGGGACATCAAAACGAAAATGTAAATCCGTCGTCTAGAGCATACCATGAGACCTACAGTAATATGGTGGCTAATTTCCAAATTCGCTAAAATCAGACTTTTTATAATTATTTGTGTCTTTCATTCTGATTTCATAATAAACTATGTAGACACCACAACATAAGTATTCCCATCCAACTTTTCTTTCTATCACAATTTGCCATAACAATCAATGAATGTTCTGTTTCAGATTTGGTGTTTTTTCCTAAGCCCAGGGTTAAGAAACCTAAACCAAAACCATCAACGATAGCCGGTAATTAAACAGCATATTAAATTATTTTATTTAATCCCACAACATTTATCATTTATATGCAATCAAAATGTTATGATTTGTGATTTGTTACTCTGGGAAGTGCTACCTAACTCCACATTATCAGAGTTCAAAATATAAAGTTGTCATGTCTAACCATGAACTTGAAACATCTCATACATTCATTTATTATGTAATGTTTATATAGTATTGTACATGCATAATATAAATTGTATTAAGAAGTAGTTTAGCTATAAGAGAGATAGCATACACTACAATATTAAAATGACCACATTTCTAATTTTATTTTAAAAACTCATATATTTTTTCTTGAAGTTTTTACATGTAAGTGTAATTTTTTCTCATGAAGAATATATTTTCATTCAACTTACACACTTGTATGAGTATTACTTACTTACTGTTACTCTCAGGGCCATGCATATCTAAGAAAATATTTGGCCGCACCAACAAAGCCTCTCCATCTTGCTCTATCCTCTGCATCCTCCTCAGTTGCTCCTAGTTGCTCCATGTCTTTCTTTACTTGTCTCCACCATTTTTGTTTTGGCCTTCCTCTCGGCCGTCTTCCTTCGGGATTTCTTAGTAAAACTAATTTTAACTTATTTTGCTCCTCTCTTCGTAAAACATGTCCAGCCCATCTAACTCTTCTACACTTAAATTCACACACCACATCTGGATCTCTGTAGAGTTCTCTCAGTTCTCGGTTGTGTCTCTTCCTCCATTCACCACCTTCATAAATTGGTCCATAGATTTTTCTTAAAATCTTATTTTCGAATGTGATTTTAACTTCTTTTCTTCTTTTTTATTTGGTTTCCATGTTTCAGCTCCGTATAATAATACTGGGCTTATTATTGTCTTATAAATTCTAACTTTGGTGTTTTTTGACAGTAACTTAGAGGACATCAGTCTGTTGCAAGCGTAGAAACATCTGTTTGCCAGATTTAGTCTATTTTATAAGTATTACAAGCTGAAAATGAATGTGTAGTGAGTGACCGGAGAATGGTGTGAGATAATTTGTCTGGCTTTGATTTGACTGACTAAGATAAGCTGTTTATTGAACCAGTAATATTTATAAGACCATAACCAAGGATAGCTAGGTCTAGTTTTGAACTATTGGTTTTCTTAAGGTCAGAACTGGTTTAACCTTTTGATTATAATGCAAGTATAAGTAAGGTCTCAGCCACCTGAAATTAGCTTTGTATCATGGTTTTATCTTGATTACCAAAACACAATTTAATGACTACAAAGTAACTTTTCTTTAAAACCAATTGCTGGTATTTCAGCTCCTAATACGGAAGAACCACACAAAGATGGTGAACAAAATGATGATTCCTCTCTCGCTGATCACAGCATCATCAAAACACCTAATTCTACTGAAGCTGCAGGTAAGTTTTGTTCAATAAGAATCTGCTGTCTATCTATTTCTTATGCATGAATTTAATCCTTTAAAACCAGGGCCGGATTCGGGATTTCCTAATAGACCTGGTATTCCCGGGCCGAGGGGAAAATATTTTTCTAAATATCTACAAATAAAATGGATAGCCATAATTTAACTTATTTTTCAAATTTACTAAATAGTCAGGCTAATAAAGCCTTCTGAGTTTATTGGAATAAATAACTGTAGGTGAAGTTAAACTATTTTTCAAATTCACGCCTTAACACAACATTGGTCTTAAAGACGCGGGAGAAGGCTGTCACTGCCACTATGCTGGCTTGATGATTCTGCTCACTGTGATTAGAGGCGCACACATGTTCTAATGTTATTGCAAGACAAGATACTATTGTCACCCTTACGGTACCTCATTAAAAGAAAGTTATTAAACAAACTTTTGATTAGCTTACAAAAACCAGCAGGATGGAGTTAAAATACATAATGCGTTGTGTTAAATGATCAAAAAGTGATGAGTTCTTTACAATTAACAAATTAACAATACAAATATATCTCTTGAGTGTGCATTAGGGGTTTTTATTTATTCAATACTCTCTAAAATGCCATTCTAATTCTGTAACTCTCTCCTCAGGCCCTAGGATCGGTATAGTTAGCCGAAGTTCATTGTTATTGCTTTGTTTTGCTTTGCGAATATAATATAGATGCAGTATTACCATAGACTGACCAGACTTCTCATCCCATTGCAAAATGTAAAAATGTTTTTCATGTCTGGTGAGACTGTGCACTAATGTCAAAGAAATTTTTTTTATATTATATTAGGGTTAACTTTATGATTTGTGCTTTACTGCTTTACTTTTGTAAACCAAGGGACAAGCTATTGTGTATGACTATTGTTTTTTTTTTTTGTTTTTTGGTTGAACGAGGTGTTAAATAGCTACAATAACGAGGATTATCTTTAGCTGATCCATAAGGATGCTAATCTACTAAGGCACTATTTTTAATCCATTGTATCATGTAGTGTACGAAGTTTATGTTTGCGAGCCCAAAATTTGAAGTCGCTGCATTAGCAGAAATGTCCATGAAACAAAACAATTCAACCCGCAGAGCATTCCGGCAACAATGCTCTGAGGGTTAAATTGTTTTTATTCAGTCCCACAAACTTTATATCACTAATTAATAGATTCATAAAATTGCTAAAAAGTCAGAACGAAGAAAATTTCTCAAAAAACTTACAATGATAAAATTGTGTTGTGGAGTGGTGTCTAGGCAATTAACATGCAAGCCTGATATCATAATAGTTTTTTAATAAAGGTTTGTAGGAAAGTAACTTAAGCCAAACGAGAGGGTGAGAATATTTTTGGGTCTATGGATGTCAAAATGTTAGATCCAACCCTACTTAAAACTGAAGTTACGTTAACAAAATTTATTTAGCACCAGTATTCTTTAAGTTCAACCTCAGGGCTTTGCTCAATTCAATTAGCATTGAAATGTCTCCTATTATTGTATTTTAGTTACTTACTTGGTGTAATCTGATTGCCAGATGGACACAAGGTGAAATAATTAAATGACATGTTGTTTTATGTTAAGTATATTTTCAAACATTACTTTGAAATAAAATATTAGCAAAATGAAAATGTGATGAGTTCAATAATGCTTTTAATCCTTAAAAATCAATCGAAACATTAAACATTGTTACCTTACTATGTTGATGGGTTGTCCTATAGGCTTTCTAAAAGGCACAAATATTGAACCAATGTACTTATCTGAGATTTGGTGGTAAAAAATATCAGAATTGTTAGAAATTTGGAATATGCTTATTAGGGATGGACGGGATTGAATTTTTAGTTCGGGACGGGACGGGACGGGATTTTTTTCTGTGCATAAAAAGAAAGTACTGTATTGCAGTTACCAAAAAAGACATACAAAATCAATTTTTACCATTTGTGGCACTGATCTATAAAAACTAAAAAATGGGTAACAATTTACAGGTACCTATAGTAACTTGTGACTCGCGGGTCACGGGGTGATCGTCTGTATGACTCACGGTCACGACGCGATCGTCGGTATGACTCGCGGTCACGGCGCGATCGTCGGTATGACTCCGCGGTCACGGGGTTATCGTCGGTATGACTTCGCGGTCATGGGGTTATCGTCGGTATGACTCGCGATCACGGCTCGATCGTCGGTATGACTCGCGGTCACTGCGCGATTGTCGGTAGGACTCCGCGGTCACAGCGCGATCGTCGGTATGACTCGCGGTCGCGGCGCATTCGTCGGTAGGACTCGCGGTCGCGGCGCGATCGTTAGTAGGACTCCAAGGTCACGGCATGATCGTCGGTATGACTCGCGATCGCGGCTCGATCGTCGGTAGGACTCCGCGGTCACCGCGCGATCGTCGGTATGACTCGTGGTCACAGCGCGATCGTCGGTAGGACTTCGCGGTCATGGCGCGATCGTCGTTATGACTCCGCGGACACAGCATGATCGTCGGTATGACTCGTGGTCACAGCGCGATCGTCGGTAGGACTTCGCGGTCACGGCGCGATCGTCGTTATTACTCCGGGGACACGGCGTGACTGTTGTTATGACTCGCGGTCACGGTGCGATCATCGGTCCAATAATTGTGGCCACGGCGCGATCGTTGTTATGACTCCGCGGTCACGGCGTAATCGTCTAAATGACTTCGTCTCCTGCGTTCGCGGACCTATCGCTCGCAATAATGGCGTTATCGGCACTCGCGAAGCGGAAAAATCGCCGACGATCGGACCAAATCCTGTCCCAAAAAATTCCCGAGTCAAATGTAATCCCGTCCCGATAATCGGGAATATTTTTTTCCCGAAAAATTCCCGAAATTTCGGGACCTGTCCAACCCTAATGCTTATTAATCTGTGTGATACCATCAAAGCTAGCAGGAAAACAAACATGACATGATACTCAAATATATACACTAGAGAGTATTTTTGACTGTTGCACTATCTCCTAGACTGAAAAGTAGGGAAGTGTGAGTTGAGTAGTGAATTTATGAGTAGAATCAAGTTTTTAAAAAACCAGCAAACTTTAAGCTTTTTCGAGTCAATTCTTTTTTTAGAAAAGTCATTGTGTGATTGCTTCAAAATATGTAGGCTACAGGTTTCTAATATAAGGTCATATATGGTGTGTGAGTAAAAACAATTTAAAATAAAGCTTTTTTACCTTAGTTTGAAATACAAATACTGAATATTTACTTGTAAAAACACCACAAGAATACGACTGATTACGTGGTGTGCTCAACAGTGCACAGAATTTGTTTTTACTCATTAACGATCATCAATACCAGACTATTGACAGCTGGTTCAATTTGAATTTGATATTGATTCATATTTTTATCTAAAAAAGTGATTTTGCAGATACCAACAAAGACATTAAAGTCTCCACAGCAGATGGACCTTGTACTTCGGCCAATGAGAAGCATGATGAGGACAGCTCAGAAGATGAGTTTGGATTTTACGATTTGGCCAGACAACAGAAAGGTGAGATTCGCAATATTTATTTTGTTTGTCAACAGTCATTGCTGTTTGATAGTTAATAGTAGACGGTTATCTTTCACAAACTTTGTCTACTAAGAGATTGCAAATTATTTTAAAGCAAAAGGACAATACCTCAAAAACAACATATCTGCAGTACTTGAGGTGTACTGTTGTGTGTACAAGTGATATACTCGCTGCTCGTCTTCTTTACCTTCACTTCTTTACGAGATGATTTTTTATTCTTCAATAATCTTTTTAACAATCTGCTGTTTGTTTAAAATTCCAATAAATTGAAAATAGTTTGATGGAGTGCACAGTACACTCCCGATTATTCGAGGCCTGGTTATCCAAAGTGGTTTTATACTTAAATATAATTATATTGTTTTATTTTCACTAGGAAAACAATAATTACCCCATTGACTTATTTTTCTACTTAAGGAAAAGTAAAAATAGTGAGTAATTTGTTATTTGCTCAAATTACTTGAAATAACCGTTAAAAATAATTTGAACCTAAAAACCATCGGCAATAATCTAGTAAATAAAAATCACGGAGTACTACATTGGCAGCCAACTGTAGGCAAGCTGGAAGAGCCGTCTGCAGAACGTAGAACATAATTTAATTTTAATTTTGGAGACACTATTTGATCTGCAACCTCTCAAGCACAGACGTAAAGTGTTGGATCTCACCTTCCTTTTTAAGCAGTTGAATGGTTACATTGACAGCCTCATTGATACATTGATAGGCTCTGCTAGAGAATATTGATCTCAAGGTGCCCCTAGGAACTCGATCCAGGTCAGCTCTCAGGTGAAAATACTTGCCTGTGTACTACGCCTACAACAGTGGAATATCCAGACTTCTGTGGATTGGTGGGGACACAGCAACACAAGTCAATTTTTTCTGAACATCTGTCTCCAAATTCAGAAGAGATCAAATAGGTCATTTATTTTTTCATCAAATAGGTCATTTATTTTTTCTTGTTCTCTGTATTCATTAATTATTTTTACTTTCTCCCCCTATACCATAGTATATGGAGAAAGTATTGTTTTCGTCAAAATTTTCGAGTTTGAGTTTTGAGTGGATATATTCGTTTTGGGTCCCCCTGGACCCAAAAAAGTGGTTTTCGAAGTGATGTCTGTGTGTGTGTGTGTGTGTGTGTCTGTGTGTCTGGATGTGTACAGAGCTAGGGACTACACCTGTGGTCCGATTTCGATGAAATTTGGTATGTAGGTTTTAATCCATGGTATCTCCAGGCGTTTTTTTCATTTTTTTTTAATTTTTATTTTTAATGGGGATTTTCCCATAAAAACCCATAAAAAACCGGAAAAATCGGATTTTCTTGAAAATGGCCCGAACGATTTTGATAAAAATTTAGTATGTTGTAGCCCTTTAAATTCTGAACAAAATGGTACAAATCCCATTTCTGTAAAAATTATGGTTCAAAAGTTATTGTAAATTATGTTATTTTCCCATAAAAACCCCCTAAAATAACGAAAAAAAGGATTTTAGAAAAAAATATGGTTTTTATTCAACATAGTATGTTATGGTCCTTAAAGTTTTGATAGTTTTTTTCATATTTAAAAAAATTTTATTTTTAATGGGGATTTTCCCATAAAACCCCATAAAAAAAACGGAAAAACAGGATTTTCTCGAAAATGGCCCGAACGATTTTGATAAAAATTTAGTATGTTGTAGCCCTTTAAATTCTGAACAAAATGGTACAAATCCCATTTCTGTAAAAATTATGGTTCAAAAGTTATTGTAAATTATGTTATTTTCCCATAAAATAACGGACAAATCTGATTTTCACAAAAATGGACCGAACGATTTTTATAAAAAATTAGTATGTAGTCCTTTAAATTCTGAACAAAATTGTACAAATCCCATTTCCGTATATTTACTCTTACCGCTTACACATGATAAAGGTTGTTGACAAACTTATGGGAGAAAGTATGTGTCAGAATGCTGATACCGTTTATTTTGCGTTATCTTCATTAGCATTCATTCTCACATCCTGCCATTGCATTATTTGTTCAAATGTTTGTTTGTAGCCCTTTTGTTTGCATAGTTGCATATTTGATTCTATATCCAATATTGTCTCATTTAAAGTATAGTAGCATGTTAACTTGTTGATTGGAACTCATTATTGTTTCATGAATGTGTTGTGTCTGTATTACTGTATTTATTAAAAGCATTTTCATCATCTTTCGGCAGCATTGCACTTGCATGTAACTTAACTATTAAACTGCTAAGTCTTTTTTTTAAATAGATTGTATTGTAGTTGTGATTTCGTTATTAATTGATTGTATATATTGTTTGTTATTTTAGTTATTTAAAATCTAGCTGTCTTGATTGTTATTATTAACTTACATTGTAAAAATTGGTAGAACCGTTGATAATAAATAATAAATAAACAATATCAATGCCAGTCTATGTTTTGATGTGAATTATGACTAGTTATAGGTCAAGTTAAATTAAATCAAGTTTAATATGATGCTTTTTCAATTTAATTAGAAAGATCCACTTTATTTACAAAATTTGTAATACTTAATCGCTAGTGTACAGCTACCACTTGTTAGCATAGCTCTAACAATACTGTGAGTAAAATTTTCAAGATAGATGAAGAAGTGTTGAGGATGTTTTGTTTTGTATTATTATTTTCTTTTATAACACTACCTTGTTTTAAACAAATTCATTCACCATGTATTGTGTAAAATATATATTTTCATTTTCCCCTAACCTCAAAATCTATTCGACCTCCATGCTATCCAAGATTTTTGGTAGGCCCTTACTGAAGTAGTCTTGGTCCCAACAACCTGGTCCCAATTATTTTTTTTTGATGATGTAGCCTATAGTAGAAAAATAATTCTTTGTTAGTAAAGTTTTGCTCCCTAATGTGACATCATTAAATAAATTGGGTCTTTTACAAATTCACTAACAAAACTGTATCATGTAATTGTGCCATGTTTATTGTAGTAACAATTTTGCTAAGTTCATAATAACCTTAAATCTTAAATCCCCAATCTGACGAAATCATTTTGGACTGTTGGGTCTATACTGTTTGAAGTGTTTGTAGTCATAAATGTAACTAGCTGTTTTCTTCAGTGACTAAGGTCCTTTTATTAATCCTGGCTTCACACAGAGCGAAGCATGGGTTAAACAACCAGTCATGGTATAAAACTGCTTGAATCATGTCTGCATCCATCCAAGAAATTTATTGTGGAATAATTTCTTTACAGAAGCCAGCCGCTGTATCATCAACTTATCAATACAAAATGATCCAGATATGGCATCAAAAGATAAATTTGATGGAAGTTCAGAAGATGAGTTTGGGTTTTACGATTTGGCTAGACTAGAAAAAGGTAAGCTACTCACAGTGTGTGCGGTACTCTTCAATTTATAGTTGACACTTGGTAGTCCAAAAGAGTTAAAATTCCATGAGAGTATTGGATTACCAAAATTCTTAGTTTACTAAAATTAACCTAAAATACCCCCGCCGCAGCAAACCTGCCGACTAAGCGAATTTCCATTTGTCTGAATTGATTTTCAGTTAAATATATTTTAATAACATTAGGTTTAACGAGTACCTAGGTTTGCTGCTACAAGGAAACTAATAAAGTGTGTTTTTGAGTAAAATATTGATAGCTTAGTACAAAATAAATAAATTTGCCAAGTTTGATCAAAATATATCAATAAACAAGCAAACTACAACATTTGACAATATTCTCCATAAGAATAACATGGGAATTTTAAATTTACAATTTTTTAAATTTTCTCCGTTACTAATAGTTGAACAAACATTCTTTTATATACTAAATTATTTGTTTTTTTAAGCTCCTTAAAAAGGTCTAAAGAGAAATCGGGAAATTTTGTGTTTTGAGGGTCAAAAGTGAGAAAAACCAATTTTTACCCCATAAACCCCCCCCCCCCAAAAAACCCCGTTCCCATGGTCCGATCGTGCTGGTTCGCGAACTCATTCAAGTTTATCCCGCTTTACACCTTTAAACCAAATTTCATCAAAATCGGACAAAAATTACTCAAGTTATTGCGTTCACGGACGTATATATATATATATATATATATATATATACTAGCTGACCCGGCGAACTTCGTATCGCCTAAGTTATCAATGCTTATTCTAGCTGAACCCGGCAGACGTTGTCTTGCCTTTGACTATTTATAATTTAAGTACCGTTACGTTTAATTTTCAAGATGATCTCGTTCGCATCGCTCAATCACGTCCTGGTTGAAGTTCGTTCGCTACGCTCACTCACCTTTGGGTTGGAGCTCGTTCGCTACGCTCACTCACCTTTAGGTTGGAGCTCGTTCGCTGCGCTCACTTGCCTTCAGGTTAGCTCGTTCGCTACGCTCACTCGCCTCCAGGTTGAAGTTCGTTCGCTACGCTCACTCACCTTTTGGTTGGAAATTAGCTGTTGTCATAAATAAAAAAAAAAAATTAATAGTGCTGCACCCTGTTGGTAATCCTTGTAACTTTTATGCTGTTGAACATCATTGAACAGAACCAACTTGTTTAATTGAAACAGCTGTTAAGATTCATTAATTCCATTTCTCATAAGGTTAACATGGGAAACTCCAGAGCCACTGGGGCGGAGCCCTTTTAAGAATTTCGAAACGGGAAATAGTTTACGTCCGATTCGCATACCTATAGAATTTACACACCAAATTTCATAACGATCGGTGAAGTCGTTCCGGAGGAGTTTGCAGACAAACACTGTGACACGAGAATTTTATATATATGATATATATATATATACATATATACAAATTTGAACGAATGGTGTTTTTGGCCTCTGGGGACATCAAAATGAAAAAGTAAATCGGTCCCGGGTCTAGGTCTTACCGTGCCACCTACGGTAATAGCTACTTCCCTATAGGGAAATTCGCTAAAAGCAGATAAAAGTCAATTTACATGATGTTTTTTTCTGTAAACTTTGACAGTTAGGCATTCATGTTGATCAGTTAAAGTTTTACTAAAAAAGCTATGTTCTTGATTTCTGAGCAGGTGGCCAACAGCTCATTGCTTTCAATGGGTTTTTGTCAATCATCTTTTGTTACTATCTTTACAATCATGCAATAAATATGGTCTGGTAGTTTTACAAACAAGTCAGCCCTAGCTATACAGGCTTTATACCATGATTCTTGATCATGGTATAAATTGCTTAAATATTACTAAGGGAGTAGTAGGTTTTATAATATGATATAAACTTACGTATGCAAAAAATAATAAGATAATAATGATTAAGTGGGACTATATCACCCCAGTCTGTAACAAATGTGAACAATGATGTCAGACTATTAGGTTTTGTCAAATCCTTGAGTAATAAAATTATGATTTTAATTCCACGTCTATGACATTAGAAATAAATTCCATTTCAGTTTTTTGTTCTGTTATTTAGTAATAAACACGTTCGCTACAGCCCATCAATAGCGGGCGTATACCCAATGCGGCACAGCGTCAAACTGGGGCTGGGCGATAGCAAGGCAATACTAAAAAAAAAGGCCGTAATGCTCGTCAAGCATGACGTCACGATAGAAGACGGCAATAACATAATGTTTGCCGTTTGTGATCAGCTGCTTATTTTAATCTTTCCTTCAAAAATAAATAAATAAATACCTACGTCATTACCGTTTTCTATCGTGATGTCATGCTTGATGAGCATTACGGCCTGTTTTTAGTGTGGCCTTGGTGATAGGCTTTCTAATTTCAGTCTGACAAATAGCAAATAACGTGTAGTGATGTACTGCTTTACGACAAGAGTCGATGTAGTTCGCTAAAACCACCACAGATAGCAGCACTGCTTGGAATGTAGCCGGTCCCATTGCATTGCAATTGGAGGGAGAAAGACTGGACAACAAGTTGATTTCTAAGCTTGTCAAATGGGGATTTTACGGGAAAATTTACTACTAATTTACACCACAACATAAAGCATGTCACACACAACACGCTAAGTTATTGGTCCGCCTTCAACCGACGCTAGTCTCGCACTGAGCAACAGATTGATGAACTGCAGTGTGGGTTTTGGGTCAGTACTGACCCACCCACAGTGAATGTGTTAAGTAATATTATTTATTGTAAAAGTACTAATGACACATTTTTCATACAGAAAAAGAAGACAAAAATGATAATCCTTCAAAGCAAGAAGCTACATTATTAAAACCTAGCTGGCCAAGTAAGTTATTGGGTTATTTGTGTTTTATTTTAGATGTACACATTTGTAACTGTTTACTTGAAAATAAAGATTTTTAGTATAAACAAGCATTGTCAGCAGTGGTGTGGATACAGGGGGATATATCCCCCCCCCCCTTGAACATACAACAGGTGAAAAAAATCCTTAGATTTTTTTGGTTTTCAAATTCTGTTACTGGTATGTATTATACTTTTTGCAATTAAATATGTTAACTTTTTAATTTTACATCTATTAGTAGCAGAAACCCAAAGTTGCATGATTCAAAATGAGTTTTTACAATAATGGTCATTCTTTCTACAATATTCTAGACAAACCTTTTGACTACAGAAACAGAACTCAAAAATCATTCCACATTTAGCATTGATTTTAGAAACAAAACAAAGAGTTATCGTGCTAACGAACGCATATGTATATATGAATTTGAACGAATGTTCTTTTTGGCCCCTGGGGACATCAAAAAGTAAAAGCAAATTGGTCCAGGCCCAGGTCCATGGTTACCATGGGTAATACGGTAATAGCTTATTCCCTATATGGGAAATTCGCTAATACTTGTCTATAGTCCGGCCGCTTAGAAAACGACCTGCGCGCTAATGCTAAACCAATGCTGGAGGAGGTCGTTTTCTAAGCGGCCGACCTTCCTACTTAACTGAATAAAAAACTTAAATTCATAAATTTAAAAAAAAATCATACAATGTTATTGCTTATTTTTGATAGCCTACCAGAGATGATTTCACTTTCTAAATGCTTAAAAATACTGCTAAAAAGTATTTTCAAAATTTTCCGTGGTTCTCCCTTCATTCTGGGAGACCCCCCCCCCCCTTGACAAAGGTGTATCTATGCTACTGATAGAACTAGAAGAAATCAAAGTGTAAGACTTTTAACCTGTGTGATTATTTTGTAATGAAAATTAGCCTATTTATTCTTTTTAACCATTTGATGGAAATTATATCAGTTCTGTAAATATGTTGATAGCTGAATTCTTCTTAATTTTTAATTTTGTTGACTAGGTTTAAATCTTAATCATTAAGTCCTTAAATGTCTAAAAAAAAATATTGTAATGTGAACACTTCATAAATATAAATGTAAACTTTGATGATGAAGGTTTTATCTCAGCTCAGTTTTCATTTTCATTTTACTAATAACTTATTTTGTTATAGGTTCAAGGGAAATAGTAAAACCAACTTCATTTGTAACTACAGAGCAAGCCAATGATGAACTTGACTGTAACCAGCTTGATAAAGGTAACAAAATCTATAAATAGGCCTAGTGTTTGTCGATTTCATTTTGTTTTTTAGCGAATTTCACCCATAAGGAAGAAGCTATAAACGTATATGACAAATTAAGACTTTTCCCTGGACCAATTTACTTTTTCATTGTAATGACCCCAGAGGCCATACAGCAGGCATATTTGTTGAATTTTTATTTATATGTACTAGAGGTATACGAGCCTGAAATTAAAGTAAATGTTTTGAGCCGGGAATTGATAATTGCTTTTTATATACAAATTCATATAGTGGAGGAATTATTAAATACACCAGTGAAAAGATTTTTTTTACATATTACTTCAAATTTATAATTTGTCTATCACTAATCATGGTTTTTGTTTTTTTTTCTTTGTGGATTTTAAAGTGTGTGGCATTTTGTAGAAAGAAGATATCCGAGACGAGCTGTGCCTGTTGTGAACTACAAAGAAAGCGAGTTGGTTCAAGATGACGAATATCTTTGTAAGCTATCTTTTGTTGATGTACAATAGGTGATTCCAGTGTTTGTGTAAATAAGAAATAAGGATCAACCAAAGCACTAAAAGTACAAAACTTTGTGAATTTTGTGAGTCGATGGGAAACCTAGGGACATAAAAACTTAAAGAAATGCAAATTATCCCTTTTAAAAGGTGAAAATAACTGGTACTACCTTGGCATTCCTTTGCTCCTTGATCGGACTATGTGTTTTAATATAGGAAAAACATCATCATCAGGTTGCACAAAACTTGAAGAAATTAAACCATTGTTGAGATTCCAAAAGTTTCCAAGTATACAGCATTAAAAAGTAGGGGTTTTCGATGCAGAAAATTTAAGGCTGTTGCGGTTCGTAACAACTAGTACTAGTATTTTTCTCGTTTTCACGTATTCTATCCATTATTTTGTTTATGTTAATACATTGACATTGGAAATGGATACTATCCTAAACCCATGATTTTATTCACAAAAATTACAATACCACACGGTTTTGCAGCATTGCAGTTTTACTTCTAATGTCATTTACAGATAATTTGCTTTCCAAAGATTTGACCTGACTAATGATATGGAGTGAACAAAAGTCAATGACAACAATGACCCCCAAATTAAACATGACATTCCTTTTTTTTGAAGAACCAGAACAAAAATACTGCCCACCTCATAATGCAGAACCGATAGATTATTTTAACTTCTTTTTTATGGTCGGTGTCTTAACAATGATGTGGTGTTACAGTCCTTGCAGTTTCTACATTAATAGCCTATTTCTTTTCCTTAAGATATGTTTTATTAGCTGCCAAATTCGGCATGTCTCGCAACCTTTGTTTTTATAGTATAGCACCTGCCAAATTTTTCAGCTAGGAAAACAGCTGACCTTTGTGATGAGTTGATCCTGAAAAATGCAGGTAACATTCTTAACTTACAATCTATTATCTTGAAATATTTTCATTGGTTCTGTTACAGTCTGTGACTTTTGTGATCGAGAATATGAAGGAGATTGCCCTGAACATGGCCCTCACAAGTACTATCCTGATAAAGACGTAAGTTTAACTTGGAACAAGTACACACGGCTTGGGCTATTACCAGGTCTGGGTGAACAAAGGCCTCTCTATTTTCTTCTATCCATCTATATTCCTCTTTACTTTGCCTATCCATCCATATTGCCCCTTCTCTTTGCCTATTTAACCATAGTCTTCTAAGACTATTTTTTCCCCCTTTCTCTATATCACTATAAACTCCTTTTTCCTTGGAATTCTCTCATTCCACCATAATTTACATGTCTAAATATTAGACCTGCTTTCTTCACTATTGCGCTTTTAAGCTGTCTTTAATTCATTATTTACTGGCCCTTGAATTTACCATTGCACCAACTCTTAATTTTTCTCATCATCTTTCGTTTTATTTCTTACATTAAGTATAACAGAATTTTCCGTTCTCTTTCAAAAGTAAAGCACTAAGAAAATATTATCTATTTAAATGAATTATTGAAAAAATTAAAGTTTGACACGATATCCATGGTGCAATACCTAGAAGCTAGAAGTGTGAAGTTGTTTTAATTGAAAAAACATATGCATCCAAACTGTAGGATAGATTTTGGATTCATAATTTATATTGGGGTACTCTAAAAAGTTATGGTTCTGAATATATTTTTTTTCTTTTAAGCTTTTCTTTTTCACAACATTTCTTTGCCCAACAGATCCCAGTGACTGGAGATCGTGAGCGAGCAGTTGAGACTACTCCTGATATGTTGAAGATTGGAAAGTCCAAGATACCAGGAGCTGGCAGTGGAGTGTGGACTATACTGGGACTGCCTCCTCATGTTAGGTTTGGACCTTACCAAGGAGACAACACCTCTGAACCTGACCCTCTGGGCTACAGTTGGGCTGTAAGTATGCCTAACTAGTGATGTGCAAACTCCAAAATTGGTTGAATCCCCTACATGTTGAATATGATTCTCGATTGTGGCTGCAATTCTGATCCCATGATGCATAACACAATGAAAATGTGTTAAAAATGCATAAGTAAGATTTATCACACTCTTTAGAACTTATGACTTTCATAATTAGTTATTAGAGTCAGGCCCATGTTGAACATGTGATGTGCTATGGACCAACTTACTATTTCTGAAGTAATTTTTTTTAATACAGCAGTTCAATGCATTATTTGATAAAAATAATGACTTTTTTATCTTAAAAATGTTTTACTTGATGATATATAAGCTGTGTGATACAGCTTAAAATAGGATTTCAATTAGTAGCTCTTAATATTCAGGAATTTGTCTTGAGCAGATTTAGTAGGCATCCTACAATGACAACAAATAGTGTGTGGCTTACCCCTTCACAGCCAGAGTTTAGTATGCTACACAACACAAACTGCTCAACCCACACCCTGCATGATAAAAACTTTTATGTTTTTGAATTGTTAATAATAAATATAACTTTTTCCAACAACTGCAAAATCAAAAATTTTTATAACCATTTTCATTTTTTTTTTTTTTATTAAAAACTGTACACTCGAAAGTTTATAACAAAAGATTTGTAGTTTGTATAAACATTTCATAGATTTTAATCTAGTAGCATATTTCACAAATATTATGACAACAATTCCTTTAAAATGTTACAGATTGTAAAAGACAGGAAAGTAGACCACTACATTGCGGCTCATTCTACAGCCACAAGTAACTGGATGAGGTTTGTGAACTGTGCGAGACATGAGTCAGAACAGAACCTGATGGCTTTCCAGTACAAGGGAAAGATGTACTACCGGACTGTGAAGCTGATACCACCCAAGGCGGAGCTGTTTGTGTGGTACGGCAAGGAGTACGCAGAAATGTTGGGCATCTCCATGGAGAGCTTCCGCAGCAAAGACACTAGTCATCTGCGCAGTGAGTGTCTTGTATTGTATGGTTGTCATATCGAAAGACTTATATATTGTCTATTAAAAGTTCATTACCGCATGTTTTGTTACAATCAACTAACTATCTATGCAAACACATCTATGAAAATTGCGGGAAGCTGTGTTTTAATTTTTGAGCGGTGTGAGCGAAGTCTACACTCCTGCTTTTGTTTTACAAATACTCCTCTTGAACGGCTGAAGCACCTAATTTAGCACCGACATAGTATGAACACGAATCATTGTGGTGAATGTTGTACAATATAGTGGTAAAAAAGAATGAACGTAGGCCTAACGTAGAAAGGAGCAGAGGATAATTAATTTACATTAATTATTCTAACTAAAATAAATAAAAAAGTAAAGATAGTATTACCAAGGTACTTAATTAAACCTAATGTTTAAATATGGAACAATAGTGATGTGTTAAGGACGTATTTAATTTAAAATCTAATCAGGGAAATTAAAATAGTGATGGACAAGACCCGAAATTTTGAGATTTTTTTATCTCGAAGCTTCGGGCAGGATTGAAATACTAACGGGATATTTTCGAGACGAGATTATGGGCCGTTAGCTAATCATCGGGGTAAAAAACTGAAAACTAGAGGTGTGCGGATATCTGAAAAATCCGGTCAGATTCGGTTCAACAAGATACATGCCCTTGCCATATAAATTCATTGCATCAAGATACATACACGGAGACATGGCCTTACCATATAAATTCATTGCATCAAGATACATACACGGAGACATGGCCTTGCCATATAAATTCATTGCATCATGATACAAACAATCAGACATGGCCTTGCCATATAAATTCATTGCATCATGATACAAACAATCAGACATGGCCTTGCCATATAAATTCATTGCATCATGATACAAACACTTTTTTTCGTTTTGTTTTGTTGATAGAGCCGAAGCCCCTCAACTGCAAACCCAGTACCTATAATTAAACAAACCCGGGTCCCATGGTGTAGGCCGGAGCTTACGCACCAACCTTGGCACACCATGGGCGGATGACTTAAGGTCATTAGGCTCACCGGCTGCCGAAGCAACCCTTCGGAAAGAGGGTTGCCCCTCAATCCTAACCAGGGATACCGGCCACTTGGTTAAGCGTCACTCCACCTGGAACCAGCAGGTACAAAATCTGAAGGCCCATAATGAAATGCCCTGACGCATTTAGTGCAAGCAACACTCAGGACCTATCCAATCCCTGACAGGCCAAAACCCGCCATCAAAGCCAGGAGGAAGGGGACCGTCAGCTTCCCCATTTCGACCACTACCCAATTGAGGCCATCCCATTGCTAGGAAACCAGGGATACCCAAGGCGATAGATCCCCAGATAACCCCTAGCGGGCTTGATCCCAACACCCAATCTACTTCTTTGCCCATCAAGCCCAACATCACTCCAGGCCCTCAGGGTTTCCAAAAGGAGGCGGGTTTAGAAGTGGGACCCACCCGGATGAACCTATCCACCAAAGGTGGCGACACCCTTAACTCAATTGAGGTTCCAGAGAAAACCCCCCACACTCTAGATAATCATACCTTCCGGGCTCAGAGACAGGGATTAGCTGATGGAGTGCGCCCAGCCGTTGCCCTCACACTGCGGAAAGTTACGTTCCCCTAGAGAGTCCCCGTGAGCTTACGGATACTTGCCTGATTTCACCTCCAGGAAAGGCTACTTCCAAAGTCGAGGATTTGCCCCAAAGAATGCTGGTCGCACAGAGCAAGCAGGCTGAAGCCTAAAGAACCATAGTCACAGGTAGATGGGAGATTGATGGCGCACTTCCACCTCTCCGAGAGCAAAACACACCACCAACCTGGATGCAGTAGTGTCACTGGAGGCTCCCTTTAAGGGGCTGCGCTTACCAGACGTCCATGACTATGGCCTACTTGAAATGACGATTCCAACACCGGACAGTTACCTCCCCTTCAGGGGCTTACTTTCACCTCCCAGGAAGAGGCAATTCCAGAGCTGAGGATATGCCACACATAATGTTAGTCATACACACCAGGCAGGACTAAGCCCAAGAACCACAGCCACAGGCAGATGAGGAGAGGCGGCAAAAAGCGGCATCACTGAGAGCTGAACACCCCACCAACCTGGATGATGGAATGTCACTGGGGGCTCCCCCGAAGGGGCTGGCACATCCAGTCGTCCATAATTGTGGTCTACCTGAGTGCTGGTTCCAACACCGGGCAGTTACCTCCCCTCTGGGGGTCAAGAGCTAGGGTCCGCGTGGTCGCCAGGCCACGTACCCACGCAAGCATGGGCCCCCTGCGGTAATGATACAAACACTGAGACAAGGCCTTACCATATAAATTCTTTTATATTAATTTTTTTAATAAATTTCTATTAAATCTTGTCCCGAAAAAAAAAATTCCGGCCTGCGGGAATTAAAAAAATCTTGTCTCGTCTCGTCTCGAAATGAAAAATCTAGTCTCGTCGATCACTAAATTGAAATTTCTCAAGTCTTCTGGTTTGCTGCAGAATGGGTTTTCGTTAAGTTGTGCCTGTAAAAAAGTTGTAAAGATTTTTTAGGGCCATAAAATGTTACTTACACTATTCATTTTTCTCAACTTGTTTTACAGGCTTGGTATTCTCCTGTGAGAAGTGCAACATTACCTACTCATCCCCGTTGTACCTGGAAGCCCATGAGAAGAAGTGTAGAGGTAAGAGAACTGCCAAAGTTGTAGATCCTTCAAGAGTACCTGCAGATAAGCAGAGTCTAGCTGTGGTTGTGGATGGTAGGAAGACTTTCTGTTGCAACCTATGTGACTACAAGACAACACGTAGTGACCATATAGGGTATCACATGAGAATGCACAGTGGTGTAAAACCATATACATGTGATGTGTGTAATAGAGGATTTGCAACATCTAGTGACCTTGTAAGACATAAACGGATACATAATGGTGAGAAACCATATAAATGTGATGTTTGTGATAAAGGGTTTACACAATCTGGTGACCTAGCAACACATAAACGGATACATACTGGAGAAAAGCCATATAAATGTCCTCAATGTTCTTATGCTTTTAGTGACTCCAGTAATCTGAAGGGCCATATGAGAGTTCACTCTAAACAGGTGTAATTACCTTTATAGTTTAGGCTGTAATAACGTAACGCACCTCAACACGGCTGCTGCAGAGTTTGTTAAGGAGATCTGCCACCACAAAACCTATTTTTTTAACCTAATATTTCTCTTTTTTTCTCTCCTATTTTTACTTTAACAGCATTTGTATAAAAGGAACATGAAAAAGAAATTTTTGAAATAAACATGTATACAGTAGAGTCCCCCAAACTCGGCACTCGATAACCCGGCAGTCTGGATAACTCGGCCATTACCTGGCTCAGAAAATTAGTGATTTTTTGAGTCCGTGTTAATCATGGACTCAAGCCAGCTTAAGTCAAATTATTCGCAACTGGTACAAAGAATTTGTTGTACTATATCTGATGACTTAATGCTGTGACTTGTAATATAAATATTAATAAAAAAGGTGGTTAAAAGGCTTAAAAACTGTATTATTCTTATTTTTACCCCTAGTTACCGATAACCCGGCATTTCACAAACTCGGCACCCTTCCAGTTCATGTTACGCCGAGTTTGCAAGACCCTACTGTATATACATATATGTTTTTCGAAGTGTGGGGAGAAAAACTTAAAATAGGTAACTATTTTTTATTTATGAAGATATTTGAAAAAAGTAATTATTTGCATCTACATTATAATATAACCTACTTAACTTTAATGGTATAATAACCATGGTAACACAAATTTTTTTGTAATTGTACAATAGTAATTATGGTCAGATATGCATGAAACTTCACATAAATATTGTCAAAAACATAAAAAATTTTAAAATATATGGATTTTTTAGTTAAAAATGGGAAAACCCCCATTTTAGTGGTGGCGGATCCACTTAATACCTGACAATAATTAATTGTTGTACTAAGTTACCTTTATTTAGCATCATTTGTTCTGGCAGAGTTGTTATTCTAGTCACACATATATTTTGCTTTGGATTGTGGAATCTTTAAGGATTGAGGCATGTTTCTTCATATACACTATGTAGTATAATTATAATTAGTGATGGTCAAATCCGTATATCGGACTACCGGATCCGCCGGATCCGAGCTACAGCCGGCAACCGATCGGATAGAAAAATAATCCGGATCTTGGGCTGGATCCGGTTTTGATGGATCAGATTTTTCCCCGATTTTTTTTACAAGCACAAAGCTATCGGTATCCATGTACAAGACCGATTTCCCCCGAATTTTTCACTGACACAAAGCTGTCTGTATTCATGTACAAGACAAATTTTTTCCCGATTTTTTACAAACACAAAGCTGTTTCCCGATTTTTTTACTAACAAAGCTGTCTGTATCCATGTACAAGACTGATTTTTCCCTGAATTTTTTACAAACACAAAGCTGTTTCCTAATTTTTTTACGAACACAAAGCTGTGTCAGTATCAATGTACAAGACTATCTGTGACTGTGTACGAGAAGACTTACTGTGTCTGTGTACAAGAAGACTATCTGTGTCTATGTACAAGAAGACTCCTCTAAAATAAGGCAACTTTTAATCAGCAGCAAGTTGAATTATGTCCAAAATACCTAATGGTTTTTCTGGAAGTCTTTAAATTATTTCCTATGAGTACATTTTATTTTACTTTTACCACCAGATCCCGTATAAGGTCTCAAATAAAGCCACTTAACACTTTTATTTTTCCACTTGCAGGATTCTTTTCTTTTTCCCAACAAGTTTGTTCTTTCTTATTTGTTTTTTTTTTTTAATTTTTGAAGTCTTCCCTTTTCCCCACCAAGTTTCGCTTTAGTTTTCATTATGTTTGCAACTGCGCAGGCGGCAGCTCTCTCACCAATACTACAGTCTGAAGGTTTCTCCCTTTCCCAAGCTAATAAGCTGTCTGCCACTGAACTAATTTTACTATCCTTCAATCTTGAGTATGCTATATCGTGGTTTTTGCCTGCAGCATCCAATTTATTTATGCCTGGATCACCCCTTGCTTACCTGTTCCTTAAATTTGTTCCAGGTCCACAGTACTGATAGCCGGGTATGTGAAATTCTACAGGTAAAATACCCTGTGTCTGTGTACAATAAGAAGATTATATGTTTCCATACAGGGTGAATAAAAAGTCAAGATTCCCCCATCTTCCCCCATTTTTCTAACATAGAACACAGTATAGTCTTCTCGTACACAGACACAGGGTATTTTACCTGTAGAACTTCACATACCCGGCTATCAGTACTGTGGACCTGGAACGAATTTAAGGAAGAGATTAACAAAAGGTGATCCAGGCATAAATAAATTGGATGCTGCATGCAAAAACCACGATATAGCATACTCAAGAACGAACTATAGTAAAATATACACAGATACCCTTTTGGTGGTCATGCAAACTTAGCAGTTTTAGTGCCCCCAAAAAATGAGGGATTATGGGCTCAACTGGAGATTACTCTATATATAAGATATATTAACCTTTAAACATTACCAATTTCATTTTTAAACAGTATGATTTATATAAGTTTTTTTTAACCCGCCCTTATGACAGTGTGTATCCGGATCCGGTACCGACATTTTTTTGGATCCGCCCATCACTAATTATAATACAGCACGGCAACCTCCGGCAATTACGGATGCATTTTTATTTTGTCCCTTTGGCTCTTTCAATGTACTGCAGGAATATTTTGTGTTGTCGGTTGAGAGTTATAGTTGTATAATAAGAACCTCTGTATGTAAAAGGTTACTACAAAAAAGTAACCTAAGAATAAATATTTAAAATTATTACTCCTGGAATACTAAAGAGAGACTGATATTGTGTTGCAAGGCTGCTCAATGGACCAGAAATAAATCTGTAAAATATTATTCACATCGGATGTGTGAAAGTCAAATGCAACTAGTCTTGATAATTTATTTGAATCTTAAATTTGATTGCCATTAATTTCAAAATATAAAAATCAATTAATTTTGTTGCACTACACAGTTTGTTATGTGAGTAATGGTAAGTAAATAATAGTAATGACTATTTAAGTTTTATTTTAAGTATTTAAGATTCAAAATGCCAGGATTTTACCTTTAATACACAAAATGTATCCAATTTAATGTTACACATAAACAATTTAGCAGGAACCTTACCCTCATAATTATATGTTAAATATTGTCTTAGCTATCTGAGCTAAAATAGAAAAACTGCCAAGCAACTATTAATGGCTTATTACTATAGGTAAGCACTGTATTTTCTTATACGCAATATATTTATTTCAAATTAGATATTGTTACATAACCATTGTTTTCACAAAAACATAAATAATACCTATCCCATAAAAGTTTGGTATAGTTCATTTTTTACCTATTTTCAATTAATTGTTTAATTTCTTAGAACAAGATACCTTTTTCCCCCTTGGGAAAATTCCCACAGGAGCCCTTGCCCTTGCATTATCTTGTAATTGGATGTAGATTACACATAAAGTAACAGACTCTAGAATTGGGAATTCTTACTGTGGCGGGGACAGTAGGGGACGAGAAGTCAATGTCTTATGCTTGGATAAAATAAAATGTAGAAAAGCACAACTAGAGAGTAAACAAGGAATGTGCTGAGGACATTTTCCTGGATAGTTGTCTTGGGTAACATTCATTTACATATCATAGTATTAACTGATATAGCACAGACAGTATCCTTAAATAAATTGACATACTACTAAGATGCGTACTGAATATAGTAGAACACATAATACATTTTTTACAAGTAACAAATAATGTTTGTACCAAACCAAACCCTTGTAATGTTTTAAATGTTTCCTTTAGCAAATATTTTAGATTGTAATAGTTGTATTTGTAGAATCGAGTGATTGTAGTTGTAAAGGAATAATCTATTTTGTACTTTTGTGTTAATTTACTATTGTAGGAAACATGCAAGTCCTCAATTTAGTTGGAAAATAATTTCTTGCATAAAATTCAATGTCAGAGTACTCTTTTGCATTCATTAAAAGCCAGTTTTAAGTAAATTAGTACATATGTTTCCTACTATAGTCGAATGGGTTTTCAAGACTCACATATTTGACAATGAAATTATAATAGGTTTACGTTGTATAATATAATCTAAGGGTAACTGTGATATTCACCACCATAAGATTGTTCAAACTTATCAAAAAGTAGATTTAGACTGAGTTGCTACTGTAGTAATATTAGTTGAAGAGCTAAGCTCAATACAACACTGGTTTTTTTATGTTGCCAAGATTTATATAAGTATGGTTTAAAATGTACAGGAGTGTTGTTTAGTTATCCTTACTCATTGTACCTGACTATTTTGAATAGGCAATATAAAAAAAAATAATAAATTAATGTATTGTTGTACAAGAAATTCTTGACAATTGTTAAATGCCAGTTGCTCATTGTTACCTTACTATTTCGACTAGGCAATATTTGTATTATAGCATTTAAAACTAATGAATAAATGCCATTAATGTTGTACCAGCACTTCTTAAAAATTGTTGAATGCCAAAAAATGGTTGTTACCTTAGTATGTTAACCAAGCCAAATTCATACGAACATTGAAAAATAATATACAGTGTGTAAATTAAGTATGGAAACAAATCTGTATTTTTTAAACCAAAATAGATAGAAATATTGGGTTTGTGGCATTGACTGTTAACCAAGGTTCCGCAATTTTTTGCATCAGAAAAAATTTTTCACCCCCTCAGGGGGGGTAGGGGTAGGGGGTAACTTAATTTTTTTAAATAGCAACCCCTATTGAGTGACCTCTCATTTTGAAGGGTTTGTCAAAAGAAATACAATGCCGTAAACCCGAGGTCGATATCTTACCCTTAACCAGAATGGCGGCCATTTTAAATTTCGAGATGGGCAAACGAAATCCAGTGTGGATACCCATAATTTACCTTTTAAATGGGTTACATTGGGTAAGCCGAACTCCAGATACCATTATTAGATTGAAAAGTGGATGTTTTTATCGTATTCAAAATTTTGCCCCAGCCCCCAAAATAGGGGATTTTGGGGGCAGCCCCAAATTTTTAAACGCAAACCCCTATTGAGTGACCCCTCGTTTTGAAGGGTTTGTCAAGACAAAAGCAGTGGCACAAATCTTAGGTCGATATGTCATCCCTAGACGAAATGGCAGGCATTCAAAAACTTGATTGGGTAAAAAAGCGCCCATTTCACCAATTAAAAATGTTGAATGCCTGCCATTTCGTCTAGGGATGACATATCGACCTAAGATTTGTGCCACTGCTTTTGTCTTGACAAACCCTTCAAAACGAGGGGTCACTCAATAGGGGTTTGCGTTTAAAAATTTGGGGCTGCCCCCAAAATCCCCTATTTTGGGGGCTGGGGCAAAATTTTGAATACGATAAAAACATCCACTTTTCAATCTAATAATGGTATCTGGAGTTCGGCTTACCCAATGTAACCCATTTAAAAGGTAAATTATGGGTATCCACACTGGATTTCGTTTGCCCATCTCGAAATTTAAAATGGCCGCCATTCTGGTTAGGGGTAAGATATCGACCTCGGGTTTACGGCATTGTATTTCTTTTGACAAACCCTTCAAAATGAGAGGTCACTCAATAGGGGTTGCTATTTAAAAAAATTAAGTTACCCCCTACCCCTATCCCCCCTGAGGGGGTGAAAAATTTGTTCTGATGCAAAAAATTCCGGAACCTTGGTTAACAGTCAATGCCACAAACCAAATATTTCTATCTATTTTGGTTTAAAAAATACAGATTTGTTTCCATACTTAATTTACACACTGTATAAGTTGATCGTGTGTTCATTGCTCTTTGAAGCTTACTGTTAAGACTAGGAAATAATTTGTACCAGAAATGCTTTAAAACTCCTGAATGTTCAATGCTAATAAAATTATATAATTTCCTAATTAGTGTGTATTTCATCATTACCTTACATATAAGTGGCCAGCTATAAATTTGGCTTAATTACCTTTACCCACAACCATTTTTCAACAAGCCTTTACAATTAAATTTTTAAAATTAGAAAAATTCACTTTACCGATCAAAATTTTGAAATTGAACTGCTTTAATAGATTTAATATTGCTTAAACACCCCCACCGCAGCAAACCTGCAGTGCAGTCTAAGCTAATTACCATTTACTTGACTAGATTCTGACTAAAATAATTTAAATTTATTAGATTTATTTCCCATTTAAATAACATTAATTTGTATAAGTACTTAGGTTTGCTGCTAAAGGGAAGGTAATGAGGCTTGTTTTTTATTAAAACTTTGATAGTTAAGTATTTAATAAATAGGGATGGAGAAGACTGGATTTTAAGTTTAAGACAAGATTATTTTTTCTCATCATAATTCGAGAGGAGATTATAGATCTTATTCCTATTGTGAATTGTTCTTTTTTCAGTTTTACAATGGTCAATAAATAAAAATAAAGTAACAACAACTTAAGTGCAATGACTAATTATTTATTACTAATAATGTTAATAGATAAAGAGTGTGCAAAAGAAGAAAAGCTTACCGAAACTTGATTAGTTATGAACATCATAAATAGGAATAAACCATATCAGCAATTTGACACACACTTTCTCCTATTAGGTTGCCAACAACCAGTTAGTGGTGGGAGTAAATGATATTTTATAGGGGAAATCACAAAAGTAGAAATAGTTTTTTAACCATAATCTTTTTGCACTTGGGGGTTGCACTTTTTTTTAAATGAATTATCATAACATACAATTTTTAATGAAAATCTGTATTTTTAAAACAGTTTTTCCGATTTTTTTATGGGTAATATAAGTTACAATAATTTTTGAACTGAGTTCATACAGCAATGGGAGTTGTACCATTTTGTTCAGAATTTAAAGGACTATAACATATTTATTAATCCTTTATCAAAATCGTTCGGGCCATTTTCGAAACAAATTTATTTTCGGTTATTTTATAAGGGATAATCATTTTACACTATGGATTAGTTACTTGCACACCAAATTTCCTGAAAATTGGACTACATGTGTGGTCTGTAATTCTGTAACACACACACAGAGACAGGTAGTTTTGCGAGGCAATTGTACTTTGAACTTGAGTTGCACATTATACTTTTCCTACAGTTACCATAAAACAAACAAATTGTTGAAGAAACATAACCTATTTTCACACAGAAGTGAACTTTTAATATAACATTTAAAGTGAAGTGACAAATACAACAGTACAACAGCTGACCAGCTGATTTACAGCCAGTGCTGCCAACGTATTTCGCGTGCATACGACGTTGCCTGCATGTTACGCGCTCACTATTTTGTGCCTTCACGTTGCAAATCTGGAGTGAGACAAAGTAATTAGAGTGAGACAATGTTAACATTGTCTCACTGATGAGCGAATTGGCCACTTTGCTTTCGCAAATCAGTGAGAGAACATACATTGTTAGGTAAACTAACTGTAGGAAAATAACTATTGTGCAACTAGTGAGCAAAGGGAGCAATTGACTCACTCGAGAGAAATACTTACTCACGAGCCGTAGGCGAGTGATGAATAATTTCTCGAGTGAGACAATTGTACTTTGCACTCGAGTTGCACATTATATTTTTCCTACAGTCACCCGACAAAGTTGGCTTCCTTGTACTGTTTATAGTACAGAAAGCTGCTAATTGCTGCATATTTATACTTTGCCGTACGGTTTATACTATGCCGTACGGTTTATACTTTGCCGTACGGTTTATACTTTGCCGCACATCAGGATTCCAACGAAACAACACAAAACAGCGTGGTTCTATTATGCACGTAATCCGTGTAAGCTTGGAAATAGGTTGGCAACACTTAAAGATAATAATACTATGAGCAGCTGATTGACTATTATAACTACGATTTAACCTGTCATTTCGTGTTTATAGTTTCGGTATTTCTGAACTTTCTGGACTTTTCTTTTAAACGTTTTTAAAACGTTCCTACGATCTTAATAAACAAGAAAATACCTTAAAAGCATTTTTTTTTAGGCGCGGAAACCACTTCAAATTACAAAAACATACGGAACTATATTCTCAAAACGTGGAGCACATTTCTTGCCGAGGAAAAATAGCGGAGTGATACGGACCGCGGGTACTACTTTCTCTAGGGCACCATTTGTGTTGCCAGCTGAACCTAAAAACGTGTTGTATAGTGTTAGAAAGACTAATTATTTATATGCTTTATAGTGACTGTAGGAAAAATATAATGTGTAACACGAGTGAAAAAGGCCTTTGCTGCACTCGAGATCATTCCGCACTCGCCTGCGGCTCGTGCGTAAACATTGCTCTCGTGTGCAGCAAAGTGCCACTTTCACCACTAGTTACACAAATAACTATTTCCTACTGTTCAATATGAGAGTTAATAGAGATTAAAAAAAAAAACTGTGTCACATACCTTTCAATAAGAAAATCCAACACTGGAAAGTAGCAGGGGGAATGGGGATTGGGTGAGCTCACCACGCTGAGGGACACACAAGAAGATCTGGAAGTTCAGATGCACTACACACTTCGAAATGGGGAATTTAGTACTATTATTCACTGATTAAGATATAGAGGTTTTAAAGTGGGGACACTTCCACCACGAGGTGGTCAAAAGACCGAGAGATTGCCAGAAAAACGGCGCGGCGCGGCACATACGTCCGATCGAGGAAGGTTTTAGACGCTAACTGAATAAAATCATGGTGGGGAAATTTGAGCTTTCCATGAGAGGGAAAGAGACAGAGATAGATCACGCCATATGACGTAGGCATCGTATGATTTTAAGGAGAATGTGGGGGAGGGGAATTGCCGTGGTGTGTGTGTGTGAGTAGAGTAGAGTACATTTTACAGACTTAAAATAAGTGACTAACACACAAATAAATGTTGAAAACCTATACACACTGTTAATTAAATGTTAATAAAATTAATGATTAGTTATGAGACTACTAATTACCCTCCTACAGTTACCATAAAACAAATAAATTGGTAAAGAAACGTGATATATTTTTTACACAGAAGTGAACTTTTAATATTACATTTAATGATACAACAGTACAACCAGCTGACCAGCTGATTTACAACCAGTAAACAGAACATATTTCGCGCGCATAAGACCTTGTCTGCATGTTACGCGCTCACTATTTCGTGCATTCACGTTGCAAATCTTGAGTGAGCGAGACAAAGTAATTTAGAGTGAGACAATGTTAACATTGTCTCACTGATGAGCGAATTGGCCACTTTGCTTTCTCAAATCAGTGAGAGAACATGTACATTGTTAGGTAATTGTAGGAAAAAATCATTTCTCCATGCTTTATAGTATAGGGGGAGAAAGTAAAACTGTAGCATACTCACCAAAACGAACTATATCACAGCCAAGACAGTCTATAAGAGACGAAAGATAATTGTAGTAGCTTGAACGGTGTTACTTTTGATTTCATTGATATAGAGATCATTAGGAGAAAAACCTTCTTTGTCCGGTACAGACGGCCAGGGTCATCATAATGGACAATCCGATATTACAGATTGTTGAGATGTACACAGTTTAATAAAACGCCTTCAAAAAGTCTCTTCCATACCCGCAATACAGGAACGCATTGTTGTTGCGTTTCCTTTTAGAAGGCGTTATCATTTAATCAATTCTTAACATACCTAATATTAAAATAAAATGACATTTTTATAAACCAACTGTAACCCACGGGCTTCACCCCGCTATACTTCATAAGTATTATTTAACTAATATACTGCACAAGGACAGTGTAATATAAAAAATAGTAATCATAACCGATAACTAATATTTACATCCATAACTAATCTAATCGTTTGGGTAGATGAGTATATGTAGTACTCGCCTTTAAAACTAAAGGCTGCTTATCAAACTCAAAGCTAAATCGTTTCTGGACCAGATCTCATTCGTGAACAGACTATTAGTTAAATCTAAAAATAAACGTTAGATACTGTGCTAACCAGAGTTGGATCGTTTTCTTAAGATCAGTGGCACAGGTACACCGAAATAAAAATTGTAATTAACAAAGGTAAAAATCTAACACTAAAAAAAAAAACACAAACTAGGTAAAAATGTAAAATACCCAAATCATTGAAACCGTTTATTTCTTCACGCCGTCAGTTCGTTGACGCACCTAAAGAGGTGGACAATGAACAGGACAGTGGCGACAACTATGACGATAGCCCAAACATCCTCAGGAGCCAGAGAAATCCATTGGTAGGAGAGTCGGGAACAGAACTCCAGAGAGCAACCGTGGCGCTCCAAGGAGTGGCTGAGGCGATGGTGGACCAGCGACCAGGGACAGAGTCCTGAGGGACACCCTGGGAGGGACACCACGTACTCGGACACTAGGAACATCACCCGGTGGGCCTCTTCGGTGGAGCATCTAGTAAAGATTGAAGAAATATATGTAGCAAGAGAAAAGATAGGATATCAAGAGATAAATATTTATCTGCAATCCTTACCTGTAAACTTTGATTAACCTTCGGGGTCTCGCTTGAAAGAAAAATTTCCTGACTTACCGCAGAGTTTAGTCTTACTAAATAGAATTTTTTACCAAATGTTCCCTATTTGGAGCCTAATTTTTCTAAATCTATTATATATTTTAAGGATGTGCGGTACCTATAAAGTTGATTCCTGGAACCACAGGACCTTTAAAGTACCTGTACCGAGTAGTTAAGATGTCGACACTAGTACTTTGGTTGGTATTAAATTTAATTTGTATTGTATACTAGCTGTACCCGCGGGCTTTGCCCCGTTTAACTTTATAAGTATTCGCATGGCCCATTTACGTCCTGGTTGAAGTTCGTTCGCTGCGCTCACTCACCTTTAGGTTGGAGCTCGTTCGCTGCGCTCACTTGCCTTCAGGTTAGCTCGTTCACTACGCTAACTCGCCTCCAGGTTGAAGTTCGTTCGCTACGCTCACTCACCTTTTGGTTGGAAATTAGCTATTGTCATAAATAAAAAAAATAATAATAGTGCTGCACCCTGTTGGTAATCCTTGTTACTTTTATGCTATTGAACATCATAGAACAGAACCAACATGTTTAATTGAAACAGCTGTTAAGAGTCATTAATTCCTTTTAAATATGAAAAATCATAAGGTTAACATGGGGAACTACAGAGCCACTGGGGCGGAGCCCGAAAGGATTTTTGGGATAAGAATATGCTTTAATGTTAATCGGGAATGTGAGCTATCATCATGCCAAATTTCAGTCCAATCCGTTCAGTAGTTTATGCGTGATTGAGCAACAAACACACACACAAACTCTCAAACTTTCAGATTTATAATATTAGTAAGATTTACTTACATTAGGGAGCGTCTAAACTGAAATTTGGAACCACTAACACATAGGTAGATCAATCGCTGCAAACGAGCAATAGCTGTAACCACGACATCATCGTTATCATCTCCTACGACCGCGAAAACATTTTATGATAATCCCCCTTTAATGGCTGCAACATCGCCATCATATATCGGGATGACGCTTCAAAGTCGATAGAAGCGCAGTAGACTATTATTGATTGACGGTACCAAGAATCAAGACTCAAATGTACCCACTATTTTACTTTCTTACAGCCTTATAATTTGTTTACTTACTGGTAGAACACAGCCATGATGTTAGCCCCCCATGGCAAGAGTGCAGATGACCTGAAAGATCTTTGTCCCTGATCCACGTAGGATGTAGCAGAAGGAGGATTTTTGTCTGCAAAAATGCCTAGTCTTGAAGCCAGCAGACCCACAACTTCAGCATCCCCGAAGTAGAATACTCCTTTTGGCATTTTAGCATCAGGATTCATCTCTATGACCCTGAAAATCACCTTTCATATTTTTTGTGGTGTATTTAAAAGCATGTGTACAATTTGGGTAGTGTTTACTAGTACACTTTTCGAAAAAGGTCTTTACTATACCTTCATTTAAATAGGTAAAGATATTTGGAAGAAAGTAGACGACAAATGCAACATTTTATTAAACTAACACACGTCCTGCGAATTCTTTCAGTTTCAGTTCTGATTCAGTACTAGTTTAGAATATTTGTACCCATCGAAATTTATTTTTCTTGAATATATATATTACCTACATATAATATTTATATAATACGTAATTTATAAATTTTGTACCTCGTTTGATGACTTCCTGAGTCCTAAGTGTTCGTACGAAAAACAGATAAATGAATAAGAAAAACACTTGAGTTGATATTTATAGAACATAGTGAGGCGTAAGCGAAGGAAATAATTTATATCTTATTAATTTATTTATTTAATAAACAATTTTGCCTAAACGCATTTTTATTTGATGACACGACTTTTTTTAATTAATTAAATAACAGATCATTAAAAGACTTTAAATATTACCTTTAATAGGGGTAGAACTGGTAGGCTCTTCGTATTTTGTTGTCTTATTTACATAAATTACAATGACTCACATCCCTACCCACGGTTTTAAATATTCCTTCTAAGGTCTCTCTATAAGGCCTCTAAGGTTATCTTTGTCTCTTGTCTGGGCTCCATTCTATTATCTTCCATTGATTACAAAAAGAGATTTTTAAATTGAAATAATTGTATGTGAAATCAAACAAATATTCAAATGGACAAACTACAAAACACATAAATCACTAACCTAAACTGTGTGAGCATATCTTTTACAAATGGACAGCCAAGTTTCTTATTGATGTTGGAACGGTCTCCAGGCCCTGTCTTGTGGTAGTACTCCAGGTCATCGAGAAACTCCATAGCCTGAAAAAATAGGAAAACACTTTGTGATTGCCACGTAGCCCTTGCTTATATATACAAAACAATACAAGCAAGGATATACAAAATAAAAATTCCAAAACAAAAGCAATTTATTTTCAAACGCTTGTAGTTTACAAGTTTAACTGAAACTGTGTAATATTAAACTGGAAATAACATCATAACGAATTGGTGTACTTAACTATAGATACAAACTTGACAATTTTATGTCATTTATTGAAACGTTCACGTAAGGACAGTTGATATTTCAAGGTATGGCATGTTGAAGAAGTACAGGGTGTGTTTTTTAAACACAGTCAAAACTAAAAGTACAAAGATTCATTCTTTAGAGATAAAACAAGCTCATAACCTGGAATCTTTGTTCCTTACCTTCATTGCACGGTTTAGTGTTTTTTGGGAATTTATTGTGAATAAGACTCAACATGGTGTTTAGAAAGCTTGAAGAGTACATTGTAGAAAAAAACTCAAAGAAAAATAATAGTCCAGCGATTTTTGTGGAACGTTTATTTGGCTTATAATAAACTACCTAAAAACATAACATAAAAATTTTGTGGTATACTAGATACTTAGAAGGGGAATTCTCATATTACCAAAGACATAGCATGATATCTAGCATACGTTGGAGGAAGTATGGGGTTATTAGATTTGGAAAAATATTGAGACAAAAGGAACATACTCACAAAGAGAACAAATAAATTATGATGGTTGTAATCCACCGAGATCTTACCAACAAGTTTTTTTTTTTCTATCCATACCAGTTTGTAGGTATGAGAACCCGTCACCAATACTTAAGATTACAGCTCAAATCTAAATTATTGTCTACCTTCAGTTCAGTAGCAGTGAAGGCAGAACACCAAACAGCAGAAGATTCCAGAGAAGATGATTTGTCCCCGGCACACCACTGGTACATGGCGTCCACCACGTCTGATGTGTTAGAAATATGAATAAATAATACTCCTTTTAGAAAGTTGCTAAGTAGATATAGTGAGAAATATTTCTAACTGAACCTATGAACTTAAAATAATGAAAAAAACGTGTAAACATTCATTTGTAATCAAGTCTCAAATAGCATTTTTTGTGTTGAGGAATCAACAATACTTTTCATTACGATTGAACTGATCATACAACTTTTTTTAATACTTTTCCAGACCAGGTTTATCTATAGTCGTATTATTAATTGATCAAGGAGTAGTTTTAAATGCAGCTGTCAGAAATAAATAATAGTGTATTTGAACTTAATAATAATAACTTAAATAATAATAATAGTAACTAATAATAATAATAGTAATAGTAAATAATAATAATAGTGTAATAGTAACTTAAAGCGTACAAAACGCAATTATTACAGATCCAAACTAAATGAATATAATAATAACCCCAAAAGATTCTGGGGAATAATTAATGAGTTGTCAGGTAGAATAAATAAAAAGGATTCCTTTCCAATTGAAAAAGCTGTTCCTGGCAGTTCTGTTTTTACTACAACTATATGTGAAGGGGTGGCTGGGGATTTTAATAATTTTTTTGCAAACGTTGGAAATGAGCTGGCTGATTCAATTGACGCTTCGGGTGACCCAGTTTTGAACGACAATGACTTTCGACTGAACTCCACATTTGACTTACAACCGATCAATGAACTTGACTTGCGGCGTTACGTTCACGGTTTACGGGGAGGGTCAGCGCCGGGCTGTGATGGTGTCTCGGCCGAAGTCTTGAAAAGCAATTTCAATGTACTATGTGACCCCTTACTTCACATTGTCAACCACAGCATCATTTCTGGAGTTTTCCCTGATTGCTATAAGCTATCAAAAGTATTTCCTTTACACAAATCTAACGATTTCATCAATAAAAACAATTATCGCCCATTATCTCTGCTTAGTGTCTTCGCAAAAATAATCGAAAAAATAGTAAAGGATCAAATGGTTTCCTATCTTCAAACAAATGGCATCCTCAGCGAGCGTCAGTACGGGTTTCGTAGAGATAAAAATATTTCAGATGCTTTGTTTGATATAAATAAAGAACTTAATCGCGCTATCTCTGATAAAAATCACCCAATGTTAATATTCCTTGACCTTAAAAAAGCTTTTGATTCTGTTGATCGTGCAAAATTATTAATTAAAATGGAATTATTGGGAATAAGAGGCACCACTCTTAACTGGTTTAAAAGTTATCTTTCTAACAGAACACAGTATGTTTCTATATGTGGTGTGAATAGCAGTAGAATGCCTGTAGACTACGGGGTGGTCCAAGGTTCAACTCTCGGGCCAATTTTATTCTTATTATATATAAATAACATCTCAAAATTAACTATTTTTGGTAAAATGTTTTTATTTGCTGACGATACCTTAATTTTCCTTCAGGGAAAGTCTTGGCCCGAGGTCCGAGATAAGGCTATGCATGATCTTATGATTGTAAAACGATGGTTGAATCAAAACATACTTTCGCTAAATGTATCTAAGACCAAATTTATGCCAATTTCTATTAGTAAAAGTACTGAATTTAATTTAACTAATTTAATTATTCATAATTGTAATGACTATCGAAGTACTACTTGTTTATGTGAAAGCATCGATAAGGTAGACTCGTACAAATACTTGGGTGTATTTTTTGACGAGCGTTTGAAATGGAATATTCATACTACTTATCTCAGAAACAAAATTCGGAAATATATTTTTGCTTTCAAACAGATGAATGAAATTTTATCAATAAAAGAATTAAAAATGGCATACTTTGCTTATGTCCAGTCGTTGCTTTCATTTGGTATTGTTGCGTGGGGTGGATGTTATAAAAGTATTCTTGAACCTTTAAATGTGGCTCAAAAAACCATATTGAAAGTGGGGTTTGGTAAATGCAAACGATACCCGACTGACGCTCTGTTTGGGGAATCGTCCATTCTCACTATTCGACAGTTATTCATCAAGAGCCTATTAATAAACATCTTTAATAATCACACTAATATTTTTCAAGGAATAACTCACTCCCACAGTACCCGTTACTCCTCACGAGTAGGTATCTCATCACTTCAGATAAACTATACTTTTTCTAAAACAAACTCTTTCTATATTTCTAATGTTCTCTATCGAAATATCTGTAAATATTTTACCAATGATAATCTTTTTGAATTACCATCAATTAATGTTTTCAAATTAAGAATCAAACAATTTCTCTTCAGGCTTGGTATAGATGAGGCCGACGTTATCATCACAGCTGATTACCGGCGCGTTTGACCCGAACCTTGCCCCCTCTATCCTGATCCAGCATTAATCCTAGTAGTCTAGTCCCCACCTGTTCAAAACTGTATTCATTGTAGATCTATTCAATTTTACAATTCATAAATCTCCTTTCTAAACTAATAACATTCAAGCAACAGTCTAAATTCCATTATTCATCCTTTTATAGACAATAATTCCATATAACTTGGTTACTATAAATATTTAAATAGCAACCCAGCAGACGCACAGGCAGCACTTGCCTATGTCTGCTGTATTTCTTACAATCAATTTAATTTAGTTTATACAGAAATGTTCTTTTTTATTCTTCGTCTTAGTTTTATTTTTTAAGTATTTTGTATTAAAAAGTGTGTCATTGTTTTCTGTATATATTATGTGGAAATAAAAAAACATTCATTCATTCATTCATTCATTCATTGAATACTAATGTATACTAGAGCAAGGCATTTTGAGGACAATTAGGCAATAACAGGGCATTAGTAGGGAAGGCACTGTTAGTGACATCCGATGTCCCGGAAAAATTACTTTCAGAGAATCTCGATGTTTGAATAAAATTGCTTTGCCCTTTTAAAACATTTTAAAAGTAATCCTATTGAAGAAAATGGAAATTTAAATTGATGGGAAAGTAGGCAAAATCGACCGCCTGTAATTTTTTTACAACTAATTGATGATAATTGATCAACACATTTATAAATGTTGTATTGTCATTTAGATTTATATTTACTCACAAAAAGGTAGGTCATAGTTGAAACCAAGTCTTCGGCTGATGGTTATGTAAACCTGATTCATTAGTTCTCCTGACTTGAAGGTATCTAGTTCATCGTTGTATTTGGCGTTTTTCTGCGTCCATGCAGGGCAGTTGTCATGTGCCTTGAGTTATATGCAAAAAAATTACTACAGGAAACTAGAGAATATACCGGCAACAGTTTTTAAGTTGTTTTTAACTACTCACAATAGATTATTAAATGCATATCTACGATTACGAAAGTTAATATAATTACTGATTCTTTTTTCAATGATATTTTCAAACTTTCACTTGTATGTCTCAATAATTATGGACTGCTTGTTATACAAACATAGCTACTAGTCAACGTGTAAACAAACCTGTCTTTCATAAATTCTTGATCAATTAATTGGTGAGCTATGTACTCAGGCATAGAGGTTTTTAGAGAACGGGTTGAATGGTAAATAGAGAAATAATATGGCGAATAAATAAAAATCTGTTGTTTGATTGACTTAACCTGTACATAAAACTTAAAAGACAGGTTTAATAGTCCAAACTAAAATAAACTAAAAGAAAACTTACTTATAAACTCAGTTAGCAATTACGCAAGTGCAAAAACAATCCTCAGAAGCACCAGCCGAAGCCATAAGCTTTTAGTACAGTGTTTTGAGTGCGCCACAAACCGGCGAATGTCACACATTATGGAGAATTGAGATTGTCCCCAAGTCCACGACTACAGTCAGTTACAATAAAATTCTTGTTTTATCCTGGAATCCCATGATAAGGCGTGTGCAACGGGAAAGATACAGTAGGAGAACATTTCGAGCCACTTCTAAAACCTTCAAAAGGGGTTTGTTAAGAAACATTGTTGTTTACACGTGAGAGACGTATGTAAATTCCTGTATAAAACACAAAGGTTGTCCAGGAGGGAATATAAGTTACGGTATATTGATAAAACTTGTTAAAACTTATAAAATATTTAAAAACTTACCCCTAACAACTTACTCTCCTGAGGATGAGCAAATTGGGGGTTGTAAATAATACCAAAAAGCCCCCTTATAAAATATTCAGTTGTCTCCTTTGATTTGTTCTGCTCTGTGTGGCGAAACTGAAACAACACATCTTTTTAATATACCCTATAAGTCTCGAGTACATATTTTAAGTGTTGAATACACATTTGGTAGTTTTCAAATAAGTACCAAGGGTAAGAATAAATTAAAACACTATAATATAACGTTATTATTGTCTTTAACAATTTAAAAAGTTAAAACATGAAAAATCCTTCTCTCAGTTTATTAGTTTCAATGGCTGTCCAAGAATACAATGTGATTGTTAAAGTTGGGTCAATATTCCATTAGAAGATGTCAATGGTGAGTTTATTTTATATCTATATGGTTATATGTTTTTTGAACGGTGTTTTACTTAGAGATTTGCTTATGTGCAATTTTGATAAAACAATTGTTTTGCAGTTAATTTAGATACGCGATATTATATTAATCATGTAAATATGGATTATGTTATTTTACAACGGTAAAATTGATTTTGTTTGAGGTGGTTCAAATGACTTATGAATTCCAATGCAGTTAGTTATATTGTGGGTACAACACTAAGAACCATAATGAAAATAAACTCATAAGTACCATTAAACAATTAAACCATAACCCTACCCTTATTGGCAGTTTTTCATGTTGCCATACTCAGTCTTTGCTTTTTAAACCTACCTCACCCAAAAATCTCCCCGCAGAAGAACGGCCTTATTGGGTTAATTACAGGTATTTTTGAAATATATTTCGATTATTTATACTCGTATTTTATGAACCATGGTAATATTCATTATTTGATGTTTCAACAATAAAAAAGAGATTTAATGACCCTACTTAAATGTTCCCTGGAACGATCTAACTCAAATACAAAACATCAAGAGAAATCTTTCGGTTATTTTTTAGATTGCATACTACAAAATCCTTGGAGGGTTCGCTGTCATTGAAGAGATCAGGGAACGCTTGTCGCACTCTCAGCCCAAGACTATAGGAGTCTCTGACGCCTTGAGGAGTGAGGCTGTCCTGCTCCTGGGAACTGGTCTTGAACTCTCGCCACTCCCGCAGCCTCATCAAGTCCTCAGGACATAAGGATCCTCCTAAAAATATATATCATTCTAAAGAGACTCGTGCTTTCAAAGGGAAAATACTTTAGAAAACTCATATAACTGAGATTTATACATACCCAAAGTAATTCAAACGTTTTATTTCATCCTGTTAACATATGTTTTTATTTACACTAATTTATAGCATGTGTTCATATTGTTATTATGTCTAATTGTTGAATTGTTGATGTTTACTTACAGATTCCGATTTAATAAAAACCTATATTTCACTATCAAAAAGCTACAAACTTTTCTCTGGACTTTTTGATTTAATATGATAATGCATATTTAACCATGCATTTCTGTGATGAGTTGGAATACTAGATATTAGTAGGTAGCTTGATCCTGAGGAAAAGAGTGGATTTATGATGGTTTGTAACGCATTACTCTTACATCGTTCAGCTTTGTATATAGGCATAGCTGAAGAAACAGCAAAGCAGGCAGTTTGAACGGAATAGCAAGTCGTAGTAAAGGCTAAAACATAAAAAATTACTTACTTCCCTGTTCATGGTTTTCCAGAATCTGGTCCCTTAGATCCATTAAGTTGACATATTCGGAGTTCTTTCTGGAATTTGAGTGGTGAGCCCCATGGCGTGCAACCATCCACACTTGTAAAGGCTTACACTCTGGAAAAAAAATTAAAATGCAAAGCTGAACTTTGTGTTTTATTTATTAATTATATTTTAACAGCATTACTTTATACGATTGACAAAATTAATACGGTCGAAATATTCTGTGGTTTGTTTTATTATTTTGCATTAATTTATCTTCCAGCAGATATGCAGTTTATCACAGTATTTTATCTGTGTTTGAGAACTGAGCTAGATTTATCATAATTTAATGAATTGAATGTAAACCCAAATAAATAGCCTCGACATGGTAACTACACCATACAGAATAGATGGTGGCCCAATTTTGCATGGATGTACTAAACTTAATTTCATTTGTGGATTGTATACTTCCAAGTATTCCAAGGCCAGCAAAAGGGACTAGAAAATCATACAAAAAGCAAAAATACCATTCAAGTCAAAGCTTTGTATTTAAAAATGCAAATTAATATTGCTTTATTAACATCTACTTTTCTGTTTTGTGTGTATATTGTCCTTGAAATGTTAATGTATAAGAGGTTAGGGGTTAGAGGTTGTGCCGTTTGTGTACAAAAAGAACCGGTAAACATTTGTACGCATTAAAATTTGTTATGAAAAATTAAAAATAGGTTGTTTTTGTTTGATTACAGTAGGTTATTTCAGCTAGTAAGCTTTAGAACGGTTTTGTCTGTTATAAACATCAGTGTATTTTATAATATTCTATTTATTAAGCTCTTACTTGTTTACCCACCTGGAACTTTAGGTATGCCAAGGGGATTCCTTACAACGTCGTACGTAGTTTTCGTTCCAAAATATAAATATGGATTGCCATCCGTAGAATAACAACTGCCATCTCCATCAGAGAACACTGAAGAAACGAATACCAGAAGGAGAAAACATATTGATGTTGGAGTCGTCTGAAAAAAAGATTGGTTAATTGGTAATTTTAAAAACTAGAGCCAATGATCCTTTATTTTGACGCAATCTTTTGGTTTTAATAAAAAATTTTTGTTGTTGTTAGGAACACTAACTTTATGCAATCGTTGCGTAAACTACTATTACCTATGACCGTTTTTTAAAGTAGCTGTTTCACTTCAGTTCTTAGAATTGAAAAGTTTCACATAACAGCATTGTTTACTTTCATAACAGCATAGTTTTACTCATAACAAAACGAGTAACGGACCAATGAGGTTCAAGGATTGAGAAAGAAGAGGCTAAATAGTAATGATTCGAAATTCAACTAATCAGCTGTTCAGGCCAATTTAAATATTGAGTGGTGCAATTAGTGTTTGGTACTGTACAATGTTTCGTTGTATCACTTATTATTGTGGCATTGAGAGGTTATAAACTAAAAGATAACCTCTCTATGAAGTTATGAGTAGTGATTTTTAGTAATTAAAAAAAACTGTCGTAGGTAAAGTAGAGCACATATAATTAAACTATTGGAAAAACACTCATACTGTATACAGTTAATATAATTTCAAAAAAAGATTTTTAACATTATAATGATATTTCAAAAAGGTAATCTTTGACTTTGGACTTTTGATAAGGAACTGTTTTTTAGGAACAAAGTTTAACGAATTGGAATTTAAAATTCTCTAATTTGGTTTGTATAGTAATGTAATAAGGTAGTGTGTAATATTTTTCAGGCTACTCGTTAAAATTTTGTAATATGTTTACCCTTTTATTTCCCTCAGACATTGGATTTAAATAGAATAGAATAGAAAAACCAACAACAAAATTGTTATGTTGTTGTTGTGTGTGTGTGAAATTAAATTGTTTCGTCGGAAAGTGTTATGTTGAATTCCCAGGCTAGGCTGTACCTCTACAGAAACATTCTAGAAAGTCAAGATTCAAAGGACAACTGTATGGGGTTTCGTAATAAAAATTTTATATCAGTTACATTTACTATATAAGTGCTTCGTTGGCAGATACACTATGTTCAATGAAATATCACTGCGTTCAACAGACCATACATAGGCTACCATACTTGACATTCAGTAAACACTGGAAACCTGTACTTACCCAATATTTTGCCATAATCCAAGTCAGCTAAATAGTTCAAACGTACATAAGCGAACAGCACAGGTAGACTCATAGTGTTGAAGTAATATTGGTTGGCACAATTAGCAATTATTTGAACATCTGACGTACGGGTCACATATGGTATGCAACTTAATTGTATACGCCGAACAAATGTAATGTTAGGTCAGACTATTACGGTTGTTAGGTAAGTTAGTAAAATGTTTTTAAAATTAGGTTAGAAATCAGTATTTGGAACTAAACAAATTATTGAATGCTTCGAATTAAAAGGAGTTTTCGTTGAATAAAATATTACATCCTCACCTGAAGGATTATCCTTTTCCTTTTGTAGATAGTTGGGAGTTGGGTGATCCTGCGTACTAAGCTGGGCTTCAAAGCAAGAGTCCATAAAATTACCATATTTAAAATTACATTGGAGATTGACTAAATTCAGACCAGATACTCCAGGATAATAATCCCTTGCTAAACAATTAACAAACATTTCACCAATCATAGAAGAGATAGAAAGATTGTTTATTAGTGACTAAAGTAATTCTCACAAATATTTTGCATTCCAAAAATGAAGGTCTTTTTTAATGACTAAATTTTACCGTAGTCATATTAGGGATTAAGAAAAACTTATGTGCCCTGTCAAAACCCCTTTCTTCCGTGATAGGCTGTTTTGTTTTATGACCTGAGTAACTTTAAATTTAAGTAATCGCTTCTAGATATTCAATTCAAATGCTCAAAAATAATTGTAACAAACCGTTATTCAAATGCAGTGTATGTTTGCTTGACCTATACGAGACTCAGTGGGTAGATGCATTTATTGCAAGTTAAAATGGAGTCAAGGGAGATATATTCATTCAATTTTTTGCGTTAATTTCATTGATTAATTTAAGTTTTTTTTATAACGGAAGGTCCAAACATGGATGCTATTGCCTAAAATTTACATTATGCCAGAATTTGTTCATCTTTGAATCACTTGGGATCAAGTCAGCAATCTTTCAATTTGATGGCAAGCACTAACAAATTTGGTCTACCTATAAAATGATATCATCAGCCTTATATGTGTGAAGAATATTTTCAAAATATTGAGTAAAATCAATGAGTGCTGTCATACTGATACTTATGGACTATAGGTGGATATGCTTAAACACATATGAGGCATGGCTTAACACCTTTAGTTCTTCTCAGAAGATATACATCTATCTAAATTTGTATAATGTTCTCATCCATTAATTTTCTTCCTTTACTTCAACACACTGTACGTAGGTAAACCTTAGAGTTTACCTGTTTTTAATCAACTTTGTCGGATTTTCATCTTATAAAATCTCCTTGATCTGTTAATTACTCATAACTAATCAATTTGACATTTCAAAACTAATCAGTACTTGTGTCAGTGCCTTGTCAGCATCGCTCCGTTATCACTACATCTTCTTATCAGTTACATAAACTCACAATGTGAACCTATGATAGTATGGGCTTGTGGACATTTGTGTTTATTTGCATCTGTGCTTTGTTAACTCGTCTAGCTAGTTCGGCCAGAATAAGAAGAGAGGTAATTATTTTTTTTCTACTCTTTAAATAATACATATTGTCATTCTCTTACTTTATTTCTATAATAGTTCTCATTCAAAATTTAACGGAAAATTGTTTTATGGGACAGTTAAATCCAAATAATATTTTTTTCCTAAACAGTTAGTATATGCTTAAATTTTAATATTTGGTTTGCTATTTAAGAAATATAATGAACGTATTTACTGTAGGGAATAAATAATTTACGCAATAGTCTACTTAAGTGTAACATACACGTATTCACTATACAGGGTGTTTTGTTTATGCAGGTTTTTAAAAAAACACCCTGTATAAAGGTTACAGGATGTAGCACTTATTTTGATTTCCTAGTTGAATTTCATATTATAAGATTGTAATAGTAGGCCTATATACAAGTCTAAAGTCAGTATAAAGTAAATACTGTAAGTGTAAAGTGTGTAAGTGTAAAGTTAAATCTAAATTTTAAAAAAATCTGCATTTTTATGAATAATATCCATACAGTATTTGGTTGAAGGTATTTGTTCTGAAATTGAATTTTCGTAATACTGTAACTTAATTTTTTCAACGGTAACACGTAAGAGACCAGGCACTTTTCCTAAAACAGTTCTTGTTTTTACTTGTAGACTTTATTTGTTAATGTTGATTACTTGATGAAATGACGATTTACTATGTTGTTAAATTCTATAATAGTAATATTGTACATTCAAAATCAGCCTTCTAATCATTATCTACTCCTGTGGTGCTGAATACATGTAAAATGTCTGTTATTGCGTAAATATTTTTACCATAAAAAATTGGTTTCCATTTAAATTGTTGCGTTTAATATGTAAAGTTTGTTACCTCTCTATTTATATATATTATTAGTTTTATGTTTATTAATACACTTTATAGAATACACTTTAAAAAGAATTATCAAATATCTGGCTATTTTCTTTAGGAACCACAAACTCGTACAAGAAGTTTAGAATATATTTTATCTTTTAAAAACTAGGAAATTTCACTTTAGCAAGTTTCCGTTTATTTTCAGAAATCAGATCTTAAAGTGAACAACTTTAGTTATAGACCTTTGTACCACCATTTAATTTAAACGCCAGTTTATTAGAGAAAAAACCTGAACAATTTTGCATGATTTAAAAAATATACGTTACACATAAGTAGGCCTATTGTTATTTTTTGTTCCATATTATCTTTTCTTTTTACTAACCAATATAAAAGAGATTAAGAAAATTCAGTTTTAAACATTAACATGAAAATGTAAGACTAAATTAGTATAAATTAGTATCTATTTAGTATCTATACAACTTCGTTGTTTTGCACTTGCGTCTCTTTGAAAAATCCGAGGGTAAAACAGGAAAATATTGTATTTTACGTAAAAATTAAATTAAGTGGTTTGTGAACAGACACTATACTGTATTTTTCACAAACCAATAACAAAATGTTTAACACAAAATAGGCAAAGTAATGTTACATAATTGATATTTTCACTTTTCCAGGAGCCAGATTACAAAAGCGAAGACACTGTAGAAGACTATGCAGGCAACGAGGTCCCAGACTATGCAGGGGGAGATAAGAACGACAACGAAGCTACAAACGATAACGAAGGTTTAGCGGAGGACATTGCAGACTATGTAGGACTGGATAAAGAAGAGAAGGAAGAGGTTAAGGAGGAACCTAAAGATACATTTACTGACACCTTCAATGATCCCTACAAAGATATCAACAATGGTGGTAATGAAGACAGGTGATTTGATTTAGTTATTAGAAAAAAATATTATATAAGGCCAAGAATGCTTGTATAATATTCTTATAAATAAGAAAACAAATCCTTAAACACAGTACTTCATGATATAACCTTTTTTGTTAAAACTGTTTAAAACGCGAAGTGTTTACAATAAAAAGGTACATCACTTTCCTACAGTACGGACACTCATAACTAAAACTATATTCAGTAAAAACACACATACATGATGTCCAGCCAACATCGTGTATTTGCATATTGTTTCATGATATTAACAATTAGTTTAGTTCATATGCTACATTATTTGTTATTAGCTAGTGATAATACTGTCCTTTTGTATGTAACACAGTAGTCATTTTGTAACTGGTTCACAATTTTATGTTATACTAATATTTATTATTTGGAATATGTCTTAAGCAAATGCTTGTATGTTATAAATTATTGTAAAATAGTTATACCGTAAATAAATAAATAAAGAGTAACTGCTCCAACCTATAAATTTGATGAGAGTTAGTCTGTATGTTAAAGTAGAAGAGACCTATGCTATAAAAAATGTAGCTTGGTCCAATTTCAAAATGGCGGCCATTTAATGTTTATAATAATTTCAATTAATAAAAATGACTGATATATGACAATACTTTTTTAAGAACACTTTTATTACACTTTCAAAAAAAATTTTGAAATTTCAGCCATTATTTATTAGACATATAACTTGGTGTTGTTTGATAGGAAATATTATATGCTAAATAAAAGTATTATCAACCTTTTTATCAGCCTTTTTTAGTTAAAAAATCATAAAAATTAAATTGGTTGTTATTTAGAATTGGTATGTTTATTTTATTTTTACACAGGTCTCTTTCACATTAACATACACAACACGTTTCATAAAGAACTAGTGAAATAATTCAAAAATATACAATGTTTACAGTACATCATATACAAAATGGAAAATATACTGTTGAAGAAACGATTTTTGAAAAATATAATTCTTGATTTTCTCTTGATATTGCCACATAGAACCATTTCCCGGAGTAAGCTGTTTACTTACGGGACACCCTGTATACCATAAAAAAGTATTTAGGTAAAGCCTAACTTATTATGTAAAAAAAACACTGAAAAGCACACGTCTAGATATTTGTTCATATTAATTTACTGATCATTGTAAACCTATTTTGGGTTAATTTTAGGTTCGGTGGCAACAGATTTGAAGATGAAACTCCAGATTCTCCCGAAATCAAAGTCGAAGACAAGAATAGTGAAGGAAGTGATGAGTCCAAGCATAAAAAGCACGCAAAAAAGGTAAAATGGAAAATATTGTTTTTCAAATTATAGCATCTAAAATGTGCAACTTGCCTTAATGCAAAAGAAAACCAAGACTAAAACTGATTGCGGCTGGCATTTAAAAGTTTAATAATGGAAATTATGTAATAATTAAACTAAACTATTAAATGTATTACCAAGTAAGATTGTGGTATACATTTACCTCTATTAAATTTTTCATTCAAGCATAATGCGTATTAATCCAATTACAGATTTCAGCATTTCAGATTCATAAAACGCCTTAAACTTTAATTACCCTTTTTTACCAGAATTGTTTACCTAACTGCAGCAGTCATCATTATAGAATATTACTTTCCGAAAAATAAAATCCCCTTTTTAGTTGTATTTCAAATACATAACCATTTTGAGTGTATTTGGAAATATCCCCAATACACACAGTTTTACTGTGAACTATGTAAATAATAAAAGATTAATTGAATCAGCCTAGCTATTTTCTTTTTTCAGAACAAATACC